CCCTATCTCCTTTTGCTTCATTCAGCTTTCTAACTCTCACACAGCATTCCTGTGTGGTTGATACATGACAGGAGAGTGATTCAGCAGGTAAATTGCAAAGAGGAAAAGCAGTTCTGATGCGATGGATTGTTGTGTGGGAAAGAGGGAAGTTTTATTCTGACATAAGTTGGTGGTAGATCTTAAGTGTTTTGTCTGTCTTCTTGGCAGCATGCATTGACATTCTGGGGGATTCTTGACAGGGCTGACAGCTTTGAGAACCCAGTTTTGCAGCAGCACTTCAGGAATTTGGAGGCTTTGGCGCTGGATATGACGGAACCAGAGCAGGCTGAAGATCTTACAAGTGAGAGCTATTGGCGGGTGTGAAGGGAGGCAGGGTAGGGGGCTCGTGACTTTGTTACAAGTCAAATATGTGCTGCTACAAACCCAACTGTCTTTTAAGAAATATTTCAGTTGTGTGCAGTTTCACTGTTTAGGATTCTGGATGTGTCCATTCTGAAATACTGAAACCTTATTTTCTATTGCTGTCACTTTTAAGGTAAAGAAAAAAATGCTCACTTTACTATCCAAAATTAAAATGGAATCACCTTTTTCATATGGTGAGAAATGTTTTGTCTGAAATTCCTCTCTTCAAGGTTCTCATTAATATTTCAGTGTGATAAATGGACTGAATGAATTATTCTGTTGGGGGCAGGGCTGCCACCTAGTGACTGGGAGAGTTTATATGTGAGTGTCCTGTGTAATCACAGAGTGGGTCAGGAGCGGAGGGACCACAGTGGGTCATCTGGTCCAGCCCCCCTGCTCAGGCAGGGTTATCCTACAGCACATTGCACAGGGTTAGTTCCAGGTAGGTCTTCAATTGTTTTTCCAGAGAGGGATACTCTACAGCCTCTGTGGGTGACCTGTTTCAGTGCTCAGTCACCTTCCCAGTAAAGCTTTACCTCATGTTCAGATGGCTCTTCCTGTGCTTCAGTTTCTGCACATTGCCTCTTGTCCTGTTGCTTGGCACCACCAGGAGCCTGGCACTACACTCTTGACACCTTTCCTTCAGATGCTTAGATGAGGTTCACCTCTCAGTCATCTCTTCTGGAGGCTGAACAGTTCCTTCAGACTTTCCTCATAAGGAAGCTGTTCCAGTCCTTTAATCATCTTTGCTGTCCTCTGCTGGAGCCATTCCAGGAGTTCCATATCTCTCCTGTACTGGGGAGCCCAGAACTGGATGCAGCATTCCAGATGTCCAAACTCTTACCAAGAGCTGTAAATTTCTCATTTGGGAGAAATTTAAATACTTGTATCATAACACAAGTATTTGCATTTTTGCATGCTTGCAGGACACTTGTGGATTAGTTATTACAGAAGCACAGTTGTGTCTGGTGATGTTACTGAAAAACAGTCAGACTTGTTAGCACCAATGCAGCTTTAAGAAGCAGGTGTTCTTTATCACAGTGCTGGATGCATGAGGGGATATCTCCACCAAAATCGTGCATCTCTAGTACAGAAAAAACTGTTTGTGTAGGTTTTCTCAGAAGAAACATACGTGTGGTAATCATTTCCCCAAAATCATTAACGTGTTAATTCCCCTTGGTGCACACTTTCTTCTGTCCCAGGGGTCTCTTTGGTGGTCGTAGACCCTAAAGTTAGAGCTGAGAGCTTGATGAACTGGTGTTTCAAGCCAATACAGAGCACAGTTGGCATACCTAAGCTGGTTCATGTTTTTTAAGTCCCTTCTTGGTGAATGTTTAACATAATCCTACAAAATAAAGTATTGTGTGGTTCCATACACTAATGGTTTTGTAGAATGAGCATTGTATTTTTCCTACCAGGTGAGCTGGTAGTTTATCTGGCAACAGGGATGGCCTTGCAGACTTTCTTGTGATCACACTGTTTCTGAGAGGGCAAATCTTTATCTTTTGCCAGTGCCAAAGGCTGAACAGATGAGCCACAGGCTGGGCAGCCTGGTGGACGAGTTTAAGCAGCTGGTTTATCCCCCTGACTACAGTCCTGATGTGAAAGCTGTAAAGAGAAAACAAGGTAAGTAGTGGTGGTGCAGACTCAAAATATAATGTCTGTATTCTGTTTAGAAGCTTCTGTTTTCAGTTTGTCTCATAGTTTAAAGAAGCTGCTTGTGCAACAACTCTACCAATCTCCACAATGAATTATTACATCCAGTATTGATTCTATTCAACTGAGTAGAGAACATTGTGGTATCCAGTGAGGAGTTGCTGGAGTGACAAACTGCAGAGTGAAGTATAGGATGTAATGTGGGTAAATTACTGCAGAAAATATATATATGTAAATAAATAAAATTTTAGTAACTTTCTGTTTTACAACAGAGTAGTAAAATCACTCATGCTTTCAGTTTGTGTTGGTGAGACTTTTAAATGTGTAAGCAATGCTGAAGTCCATGTGTAATTTGGGAGTCTGTGAAAGACTGCATAAAGTGAGTATCAGTTAGCTGAGCATCTTGTGGAATCATTGCATTCTGCTGTCTCAACTAGAATCCCTTAAGTTTCATTTGGAGGGTGGTGTTTTCATCAGAACACACAGTTTCATACTTCAGCTAAGATCACTCCTATCAATGAAATACTGCATGGCTTACATAGTGATGCCTATTTCTTCAAACATGGAAACTAGGTCTGTGAGTGTGTGGCTGTTAAAGCACCATGTGCTAATGGCCATTAGCAATGGTATGTGTAAGAAACATTGATGTCTTTCTAATTTTTAAAATCTTTGTGATCTAAAATGTATCTTTCTAGCTTCTGATGGTCAAACTGAGAAGAGGGCCAAGGTAGAAGTCTCAAAAGATGAGCTGCAGAGTCATGTGCAGAAGGGCACTCTAGGCAAGCTCACCGTACCTGTCCTGAAGGATGCATGTAGGTTTTTGGGGTTGAGGTGTGGAAGCAAGAAGCAGGAGCTCGTGGATGCTTTAACTGAATACTTTAATGAGCACTAAGCTGGAGAGGAAGGCCCTGGTTTACTTCTGTCTGCTTAGAATCTTGATTGTCTTATGTGGGTGCTGTGAAAAGAGATGAAAGAGATGGCAACTAAAGGTTTCTCTGTCTAGCAGCAGAGAAACTTTTTACTTAGTCGTGAAACATCTCTGCAAAGTTGGATTCTGTTGACAGTAGCTAAAGACAGAACTGAATTCCCTGTGAACTCGGGTCACCCATTGCCCATGGACAGAGTTGTGCCTTGCTGGTTTCTTAATAAAAGTTTGGACCTTTTCCTTTGCAACACCGACTGTGCTGTCCGTCTCTCCATCATGAAGACAGCAGAACTCACTTCAGGGTAAGAAAACACAATGACCTGTGTTGATGGCACCTCATGAATTCGAGCAGCAGATTGAGTCTGTGTCCTAACAGAGGGTATAAATATGTATTAATCTCCAGAGCAGCCAGTATCAGTACTAGTAATCAAACTGGGTTCTTTTCTGCCTTCACCGTTACAAATATTACCAGCAGATCTTAAAAGAAAAAAATCATTACTGGGAAGCAGTATCCAATCCCTTGGGCAAAAAGCGGGCACTTAACAAATCTGCACACACAGGTTTTCCATTTTTAAGTGGTAATAGCAGAAGCTGGTTTAAAAATGGAAAACAAATTGTGTTCCCCGGAAGGCTGCAAGCATTTATCCCAATTAAATTACTGAGATGGCATGGAGCTTTTTCACCTCTCTAAGTGAATATGAGTCAGACTATTGTGCTTTAAAATAGAAGAATAGCAAGTTGTAGAGAGAGCCCTTGTTATATACAGTATTTTTATTTTTTTAGTCATACTTAAGAAGGCTGCAGCTGGATTTTTTGGGTTTTAGACTTCCATCCCTGGCATGCCCCACCTGTCTTGTAGTGCAAGATGACTAAAACCAATAAACAGTTGTTGCATTTGTTTTGGGAAATTACTAATTGTTTAGTTAATCTCTTTTTATGGGACACAAACATTGGATACCTGAGGTGTCCATTTTGGTCTGCATAGTGTTTTTAGTGTCCAGAGATTCCTGTGTGTGGCTCACAAACTGTCCTATCACCAGGCTGTAGAGTGGCACGTGTGGAGGCAGCTGTGACCACCCTTCTGGCACTGTGACTGCCCTAGCTGTGCCAGCATGCTGCTCACTTCTACCTCCACAATTCCTCCAGAGAGCAGCTAGCCTGCACTGAGCTCTGCAGTACTGAAACTACATTACCTGTTACACTTCCAATCAGCCTGGATTAGTTAATTATAACAAAGATTTGCCTAAGCACCCAATTTATTTTGCCCTTGGGCAATGAAGTTACTGTAAATGCTTGTTTTAGCAAGGCTTGAAGAGTGGAATAGTGAGACTATCCTGTCTGTGGATTGAATTCTGCAAATACCCTTGTTAACATCTCTCTTGGCTTGCTGACCCTCAGGCACACAATGTGCCAGGCTTTGGATGATTGTGGCATTTTTATTCTAGGTTATTACATCTGCCTCCTGGCTTTTTTTTTTTTTTTTCAATAGCAGGCTATCACATTAAGCAGAAATTTAAAAGGGAAGGTGATGGGGTGCTTCAGAGCAGAAAAAGACAGTTTTGCTTGCTCAAGTATCCTTTATTTCTGCTCCTTGTGTGCTTTCTCTTACATCATCTGTCTTGGTACAATAGGGCAAATCCTTGGCAAAGCTGTAGTTCTAAACACAACTAGCTCAACAGTCAGCATCAGTAGAAAGGAACAGGAGCCCTTCTAAACCTCATACAAATAAAAAGGATTCTGAAGTATTTGGATCAAGTTCATCTCAGCAAGGATTACTGGTATCAGCCATTTACAAAAATATACAAACACGATGTCTTCAATCTTTCACGAGCTCACTTCATCTGCTTGGGATGTACTTACGAGAGGTAAGAAGTTAGTGCCTCTGTGGAAACATTACAGGAAAATTTATTTTCCATTCTGCTATTGCACCTAATGGAGTTTCCACACTATTTTGCTTTGGCATCCTGCAATAGAAAACAGGTTTGATATTCCAACACAGGGGTTTAAACTTTTCTGATCAGAGCAGAAGTGCATTTATTACACCATATGTATTTAACTAAAACTATATCCATAAAAACACCACTAATCCACACTGCTGTTGGTGCTCCATGCTGCTTTTCCAGGACATGAGATGATTCAGCATTCTCTTCTTGAGACACATATTACTTTATCTGAAAACCTACTTGTTCTCTGTTTCCTTGGCCATGACTTACAAGGGTTTGTCTTCAGTCAGGTGACTAGAGTGCAGTACCTAAAAAGCATGGTACTTTTTATAATTAACAGCCAGGTGTAGGGTACTCATCAGCCACAACAGGCTGCTCTCTGCCACGTATTATTGTACTTAACTTTTCTAGGGAGCCCAGCCTCAGTGGCAACAGTCCATACAAAGGAAACTGAAGGAGAATTAATTGCTGCACTGCAATAGCCTTTAGGCAGCCTGTGAGCAGTTTAGCTTGACAAGCAGAAACGCTCCAGTTAGTTGCAAATACTTCACCAAGGGAATCACAATTGTATTTAGCCTTGCAGCATTTTTATTTTTTCTTAAAAAGTCAGTATTTAAAAATAATCAAGTTAAGAGAGTTCCCCTTGTGTACTGCCATAAGATTTCTGCTTGCTGTGCATCTCTTACAGAAGTTTTCTCTTGTCTGGTTTCAAGAATAAGGGCGGTGCTGATCTTGGCTTCATCTGCTGCTACACAGTAGCTGCTGCCTGCCTGCTCCATCACTTACAGACTCCAGCAGCCTGAACACAGGGAACCTTTTCCTCAGCCTAAACCGTTCAGAAACACAGAGTAACTCACACCTGCTGGAGGCTCAAGCTAAGCAGAAATACTGCACCACAGAGAAAGCTGATGGGTGGGATAAAAAAGCCCTGAGCAGGCAGACAGGAAGACAAGGGGGGGGGGACTTTTTTTTCTGTCCTCCTTCTAAAAATAAAACAGGAAACACAGTTGAACAGTCACTTTTCAAGAAGTAATACAATGAGAATGAAAATGTTGGAGTGGAATAATAGAAAAGTGGGGGGGATAGAAGGTGGAAACACTAAGAATTAAGCCATTATTAAACAAAAATATGGCATTTTGAAATGAAACATTGATATCAAAACTATAATCTCAACTGAAGCTAAACATTAATTTCCCCTAATGTGCACTTTTCTATTTCAAACACACACACTCATGGGCACTTAGACCAACAGTCTTTCTATAGCTTGCTGTACAGACTGGATCTGAGGCTTTAGCTGTGATCCCTCCTTGATGGTGATGGAGCAGGCGATGACAGGCCGGGAAACGCCGCATGCCCGGCCCAGGGCTTGCTTGGAGCGCACAAACACGTAAGGTACGTTCTTGTCCTCGCAGAGAAGGGGGAGGTGCAGGATGATCTCCAAGGGCTCTGCATCTGCTGCCATCACAATGAACTCTGCTATGCCTCTGTTCAGTGTTTTGGTGGCTGTAAAAGAAACTGGAGTCAGTCTAGGTCTTCCTGGAAAGATCTTCTAATGTAAAACAACTTCAGGAGACACTGGAAGTGGCTTCAGTGGGAAGAAGATCTAGTGCATGGAACATGGGTTCTAAGAGATTGCTGAGTTTCTATCCTTAGGAATTGTGGGACTTTTTACAAGCTTGACTAGGTGAAGCCCCAGGTAACTGTGAAGGGGGGTTGCACTAGAGGTACCTTCAAACCCAAGCCTTTATGGTTCTGAACTGGTTAGGTATCTGGTAACAACAGTGCCACACCACTGAAGCATGCATGATTACAAACCATTTACCAGGAACACAGTCTGGGAATCTACCAGAACTGCATATAAAAGTCAAAAAGATTATAGCTTAGTTCTATCTCTGAATCTTGTTAAAGCAGGCTTGAAAGAGGAGAAAGGAGACACACACCTGCAATAACCAGATCTATATAAAATGACTGATTCACAGCTAAAGAGAAAAGACAATCCCTACCCCTAGCATCTCACAAAATCCTTGTTGTGACTTGTACACGCTTTTCACCGTGCAAGTCTCACCTTCATTGGCTCCCTTGCGTAGCTGCTTATAGTTGCAGGATTGCTGCACAAGATCCAGCAGCGTTTTGGTGAGCTGTGCATCAGCCAGCGGGTAAGCTTTGGGATTCACTTCTGCCTCACTCTAAAGGAAAAAGTAAAGAATGTTACAATAGCAGCAAAGGAGGCTTTGGTCCCATCAGCACTGCACAGGCATCATGTCCACCACATACACTGATTCCTGAAGTCGTGTCTAATCTGCTCTGCCCATATAGAAGAAACACCATTGCATTTTACTCCTAAAAGAGTAAGGATTCTTCTTGTATCAAAGTAAAGGGGAAAAGTAAGAAAGACATGCTTTACATCAAATAAATAGTGTATCTACTCACAATCTACACCCCGCAAACCAGCAGCAGTTCACTCATGGGGCAGTCTTCAGGCGTTTTATACCACAAAGACTACACAAAATGAAACATTTCGGTACACCTTAACAGTGTCAATTAACAGACTAACAAAAATTTTAAAGAAATCACCAGAAGAGCACGCATCAGGGTTATTTCTGCAAACCACAAACAGCTTCTAAACGCTAACATGGGCAGCGGGGTGGACCAGCAGCGAGGTCACCAGCGGTGCTAGCGACTGGCGCTGGCAGAACCGCGGCCTCTCCGGCTCCCAGCACGGCCGGGGGTGACCCCAGACACAGAGTCCCCCGTTACCGGGTGCCCCAGGACCGCCAGCCCCCCGGGCCTCCTGCCTGCAAGCGGCCGCGCTCCCGCCCGCACGGCCTCCACGTGCTGCCCGCCGCGCAGCCGGAGAGCGGCCTCCCTCTACCCCAGGCTGGGAGGAGTAGGCAGGAGGAAGAGGAGTAGGAAGAGGAGAAGGAAGAATAGGATGAGGAGGAAGAGGAGAAAGAAGGAGGAGGAAGAAGAGACCGGGCCCGACGCCACTCACCATGGCCGCGGCGCGGTCGCTGCTGAGGGCCCGAGCGCGCTGTGAAGGAAGAGGCGGGAGCGCCGCTGCGGCCGCCGGAAGGGAGGCGGCGCCGGGGCGGCCCCGGGGCGGAGCCGCTGCCCCCACGGCGGGCGGGGGCGCCCCACATTTCTNNNTGGCGTGCGGCGATCACGGGCCGCGCTGGGCGCTGCCGCTCCGCCCGCCGCTCTGCCTCGCCTGCGCCGTGGAGACCCTGGGCGACGGCAGCGCCTCGGTGGGCAGCGCCGCCCCGCCGCCCTTCCCGTGTGCGGCTGGGCCGCCGAGCCCCCCTCAGCGGGCCCGCCGGCTGGGCTGCCGCTCTCCGGCGCTCAGTTTGGGGCCGGGCCCGGCCGGTGTGGCCCTTGGCCAGCCCTGTCGCCTCGGCAGCGGGGCCCTGGTGGCCTTTTTCCCCTCAGGGTGGTGGGAGCAGCGCGGGGCTCGGGCCCGGGGCCTAACGGGCTGCTGTGTTTGATCCGCAGCTGGTGCGCAAGAAGCACGTCCTGGCCCGCCTGCAGGATGCCCTGGCCTGGCAGGCGCTGCCTGTCGTCCAGCTGCTGGCACCAGACGAGAGGGTGTGCATGCATTTGATAGGAACTCTCTTTGGTAAGAGCTCTGCTGAGGCTGGTGCAGCAGCAGGGAGGAGGTAGCTACCTTTTGTTGAATACATGTGAAGCTTCCCCACATTTGAAGCCAAAAAAAAAAAAAAAGGCAAAAGAACGTTGAGGTGCCTGCCTCCATCCTTCCACCGTTGTGTAATTACTCCCTGCAGAAAACTGCCTGTCACTGATTTAGAATAGGTTAATTAATTTTCTCATTCCCCAAGGTGCAGGATCGGCATGTTCATAAATCTCTTGCGATTTTTCAAAGTATCTTGATGTATCTGTAAAGTCCTGGAGAATAGGGAGTGCCTGGCATTTTACTCTTCCCTGAACGCTCTCCATTCTGGTCTCATGCCTCTGGAGTTATATGAAGATGCATACAGAAATCAAAGTGTGAGCCTGAAAAGGTGTTGCAGGATTTAATATCTAATGTGCAAACCACAGATCTGTGGTAGGATTTTTTTACACAATCACTTTACATTTGTAGAAATCTTTGTTGCTGTACAACTAAAACCTGCTGCTTTCTGGTGAGTCAGCCCTCAGCAAAACAGTCAGGATGTCAGAAAGTGTCTTTCCAGTAAGTCTCTGTGATCTTGAATTTCTCTTACTGGTTTCTGTTTGCATAGCAGGGAAATGTCTTTGAAACATCTAAAACCTTGATGGAAAAGAAATAATGATCTAAATGAAGAAACAGCAAGGCAGGAAGGGAAGGGTGGAGCGTAGAAATAAGAGTGCCTTCAAAGTGCAGATATACCAGATTCCTTCAATTCCACCATCTCATTTCCACCTCACAGATAATTCTTGTTCTTTGGGGAAAAGTAACCTACAAGACCCTATCCCTGCCTTGACACACTGAATTGTTCAAACAGCTGATTGCCCATAATTGTGTTGGGCACATTTTGGAAGCAGCTTTATTAGAAACAGAACTCTATGCAGTTTTTATTCTTTTAATTGCACCATTTTTTAAAAATAGTGTGTGCACACATAATCCTTCAGAGTAGTGGAAAAAGTGGCCAATTCAACCCTGCACTGTGTGGCCCTAACAAAAATACCTCAGAAGACAGGCATGCTGTGCTTGCATTTCAATGCTCTTGTCTGCTTTAATAATTCTCTGAGAAGATAATTCTCTTTATGACTGGGTAGTTTGAGGATAGCTTTGGGTTTTACTGTACTTGGTGTAACTCTTAGAGCAGTTGGAATCCTAAGCTTGGGGCTACAAACAATGGCGTGCTCATTTTCAGTAGAGCTTGGATGAACCAAGGATCATTTGGTGCAAGAGCGTAAGGGGGACCTCCCCAGAAGTTTGAGCAGTGCTGTGGAGGAAGTATTAATAGTGAATTCAGGAAAATACATTTGGAGAGAGAATATTTGATTAAGCACAGGCAGAAGAAAGAGAGTTAAGAGAGGTGGAGTGTGGAGTGTTACGTGTGAGGTGTTGTGTTTCAGATAAACCTGAATTTAATGCAGCTAATATTGTAATGTTCAATAATGCTGTATACAAATCTTTTCTAAAGATTTCTAAGGATTGGGCAGATGAGGCATAAAATAAGTAATTTCTTCACCTGTCATAACATTGCTTTAGTTGGTCAAAATTCTGAGACATCATGGAGCCTTCAGAGGGAAGGTAGTTAGACTGGATGTATTGAAACAAGTGATATAGTGTGGCAGAAGTGGGGATCTGAACCATATGCCTGATGCTATAGGTTGGAAGGGGCTGGGAGGTGGAGTTTCTTGTCTGCTGGGGTGTAGTAGAGTGAGACAGTGGTTTATTTTGATATGTCCAGTCTTGTGAAGTGACGCCTTCAGGTTGAATTTAATGTTGGAATAGTTTCAGGATGATTTAAACCTGGTGTTCAGGTTTGGTTTCAGGGTTTTCAGTACTGTGGAGAGAGAAGACTGTTCATAGTAACTGGTAAGAATGGAGGACACAAAGCACAAAACCCACTTCTGTCATTCTGGGGTGTTGTTTCAGATGTGTGATACTGGATACACACAGTGAGGTGTGGTGGTGGCAGCAGTTACATGTTCCCTGACATAGGTGGAGCCATTGACTTCAACTCTAAAGCACACAAAAAATTTGCAAGAGAACCGAGTGTCTCATGTGCCTGTGTCCTGCTTATGGAGGCACCTTTTGCCATACACCTGGAAGTATCCACCCTCGTCTGACAAAGTCAGGCTGGTGTTATGGGAAGCAGGGAAAACACAACAGTTCTGAAAAAAAAAAATCAGCTCCTTTTAACAAGAAGGAATTACAGCACTGGCGATCAGAAGCAGGAATGAGTTCCATGACCTGTTGTGGTTTGTCTTGTAGGGATGTTGCATTCTGTGGAAGACAGCAGTGCCCTGAACCTGTTAGTTGAAGGTGAGAGACAAATGCCACGTCTCAATTACTGGCAGTTTGTGAAGGGGACAGTCTGTCTTGTGTGATACCTATAGTGACATGCTCAGCGGGGAAGACCATCGGTATCCATGCAACAAAAATGAGTGGTCTGCTCCAATACTGGGGGGCAGGGGAGTGCGTGCATTTTAAAATATTTAGCATTTCTCTCACAGGTTCTGTGTGTGTCATGAGTTTAATATCAGATGGGTAACAGTTTCTCAACTTTGGCATCATTGGACCTGACCAAACTGTCAAAGCAAATGGAAGTCTGTGGGATCTGCTGCTTTCTGTACAGGCTGTAGATTCCTCTTTGTGAGCAGTCCCTTATTTGAAAACTGAGGGAAATGTCTGCAGGGCTGACAAAGGAATCTCTGCAGTCCAGTCAACCCTGGGCACCTCTGCTGAGTCTAGAGATACCAGCAGTGCAATGATGCATTTCATGACCAGCCATGAAAGGACTATTACAAACTTCTTCCAGAGGGATTTTAGTTTCCAGACACGTTCTTGAAATGAAGTTGAAAACTAGAGAAGTCCTTCTGTAAGTTACCAGTCTGTTGAGAGATGGATGCTCTCTAACAGAGCAATTTTAAATTAGTGTTGCCTAAGTCTTGAAAGTGTTTTAAGTTTCTGAGAGTTTGGGGCAAGAAAGGGCTATTAAACCATCTATAAATCACCTGTCTCAGACATGCTTCTGCTGAGATGTGTAGCTGAAGCAGGTCTAGCATTGCCTTGGATATACCAAGAAATGGTAAGCCCAAAAGTCTCTGGTATTTCCTTTTAGAATGCTTTCCTAGGATACGAATCAAAAGTGTAGGTTTTCCAAATGAGTCATGCCATGACAGCAAGCTACATCCAAGACAGCCTTACCAAACCCTGTGTAGAAATGTGTGCAGTGTCTCAGTAAAGGGGCTCTTGCCAAAATTTTATTGGCTGAACATTCAGGTGCCAGTTCTAGAAGTACTGGAGGAGGAACTTTGCTTGCTGCAACTGGCCTGTTGGTATATGTGTGAAGGCACAGGCAGCCTGCCAGCATCAGGCAACTCTCTTGTGATTTGGTTAGGGAAACCCCAGGTGATGTGTTGCCACTGCCTGGAAAACATAATTTCTTGCTGATTCCTCTTATTAGTACAGAGCTGGCAGAGTTCTTACAATAATAACAGCACTCGCTTGGGGCTGAGGAGGTGACCAGCATCACTCTGGTGACTGGCACCTTGCTTTCTGGTAAGGTGTGTGGGAAATCTGCAGTGGGGAGGAGTGCCTGGTAGACTTCACTTGCCTTAGGGACAGCAGCAGCTGAAGGAGGAGCTCTGAGTGTGAATCTAAGGATCCTCAGCAGTTTCAGTTCTGATACCTTCTCTGGAAGGATACATTTTTAAAAGCCAGTTTTTATACAGTAGGAAGCCTGGTCTATTCAATTACCACAATTTTTTAAGCTTTTAAGCTAGGTTTTTTTCCCCCTTCCTTTCCTGATTCCTTATGTTTACTTGCTGTCCTGAGGCTCCGTTTGTCGCCTACAGCTCATTTCCATGCGTGTTTTGTAGTGCAGCTGAAGCAGGACTGCTGGAATGATGCCTCAGAGAGCTTGAGCTGGGCTATCAGAAGTAATAGTGCTGGGAAATGCTGCTGTAACCCTGCTCTCTCAGCACATCTGTGCTCATTTCATTTCTAAGCTCTTTGCTCACGGCTTTGCTAAAGCCCCATGGAAGATGGATTGTGTGTGCTCTTGTGTGTGTATCACTGATCCTGTTTTTTCTGCCTAGTTCTGGTGAGGCTTGTTGTGGAGCTGAAGTCAGAACAGTACTTATACTGCATTTTGGATGAAAGTCAGAAGGAGGTCAGTGAAGATGAGTTCTCTTCCCCTTCCTTCCAGTCTTTCAGAGGTTGAGGAGTGAGTGGCCCTGCAAGACTGGGATGTAGCAGTGGGATCACAGAATCATTGAATGGTTTGAGTTGGAAGGAACCTTAAAAATCATCTAATTCCAACCCTCCTGGCATGGGCAGGGACACCTTTCACTAGACCAGGTTGCTCAAAACCCCCTCCTATCTGACCTAGGATGTCCTAATGCCTGTTCCCCAGCTGTGACATTGGCAGTGTTACTGTCTGCTATGGAGTTTTTATGTTGTTCTCATGATGCCTTGCAGCCATAGGGCTTCATGATACTCTTATGAAGCTGTGTGGTTTCCTCAGATACTTCTTTTCCTATTTCACTGTTCAGTTATATGAGGAGCTTTCCCAACCTGTGCTATGGGCTCTCAATCTCTTTGTTCCTAAGTTTATGATGGTCCCACGGGATACAGAAAAAACAGAAGTAGCAAAAGTGGTGAGAAATTAATCTGCTCACTTAAGAGGTGGAGGGGGGAAAGAGGAAAAGGAACAACAAGCAAGCAATTCCTTTAATTCATTTAAAGACATTTTGGAGACTTACTGTGGTATTCAGGATTTTCCTGTGTTTTATCCCAAGTGGTGAAGAGGGCCCATCTTTGGAAAAGATCCTGTTCTGCAATACTTTGCATCACTGAGAACTTCCTGGTTTGGGTGCATTTCTGCCTTTGGACTGTGTCCTCATTAGTGAAATTTTTCCTTCTCTGTCTCCTCTGCAGCTGTGCAAAGCAGCTACCATGAGAAGCAGCCTGCCCACATTTTCCCTCTTGGGCAAGCTGGCAGATGCCATTCCAGGCTTTGCTGAAATACTGGTGGTAAAGCACAGTGAGTAGTATTCATGTCCCACTGAAGGGTGGTGTTCACAGACCTAGTACACACTCATGCATGCACTCCCCTGTTCCCAAGACGAGTTCATGATGGTCACCAAGAAGCTGTCCAGAAGTCAGAGAGGCATTCAGGCCTCCTGGGATACAGGTCAGAACCTTCATAGCAGCTTGATATCATGCTTTTAGGCAGGCAAAAGCAGCCTCTGCAAACTGGGGTTTTGGGTCTGCCTCACAGGCAACATACATTTAGGGGTTTTTTATCTTGATCCAATGCTTGGGGGTCTGGTGAGCAAGCTGAACTGTTTGTGGAGGGAGCTGGGATGGTGGATCTTTGCTAGCTGTTCATTACTCTGCTCAGAGGGACAGATGGTTCTGAGCACAACACCTGGTTGTGGCATTCATTAACCTGCATACACCAGTCTGGCCAGTAGGCTTTTGCAAGTTTTCAAGGGAAATTGGTTGGTGCTTTTAAAATGTCAGTGAATGTTTGCTGTTCCTGTTCCTCATACTAGATAATTTAATGGATCATCTGCTGATGGGCTTAACATACCCAAATGAAGGGATAAAAGCTGCTGTCTGCTACTTGTATGGCAAGCTGTACTCCTCTCCTGTTGGCACAGAACGGCTCTCAGGACACTTTGAAGAAAGGCTCTGTGGTGTCTTCTTGAATACTCTGGGGTGTGCACAGACAAAGGAGCTGCAGGTTAATTGCTTGGGTGAGGCATTGCTGAGAGAAACTGCAAAGTGCAAGAGAAGGCTTAGAATGAGGAGGAAATCCTTGGCTGATTTAGATGCTGTAATGTGGGTTGTTCCATAGAGGATCTTTATGCTGTTTGTCCAAAGCCATCAGTCCTTTCTGTTACTCCAATGAAGTGGCGCAGACCTGCTGCTGAGCACCCCCAGTCCCCTATGTTCCCTGATGCCTCACATTTGCCCAGAACTGACTAATCTTCAGTCTCTTCAGAGCTTGTGCTATGGCCTCATCATCCCTCAAAATGTCTGAATGCAAATACTGTGCATGGGCAGGTGGCTTTTGTAGAGCAGTGGGATGGAGTGGGATGTAAAAAATCCAGTCTTTAGATGTGGGGCATCATGTTAATTCGATATAGTTAATGTGGAAGTGGCACTTTCTTACAGTTATCCTTCCAAGTGCATGTTTCAGCTGTTGCTGGGGAGCACAATTTCAGGCTTTCTGACATTGCTTGTTTGTAAACCATCCAGGGAATTAGTTTTTCTAGAAGGAGGCAAGCAGAAACTGGATTGCTCCTCAGCTTATCTACTCAACTACTAGAAATAGATTATGATTCTTTTGAAAGTAGAATTCTGTAGCTCAGATGATGCCCCTGTGAATTTGTACTGATGTATACTGATGATTTTCATCACTACCTGTAGCAGTGATCTATACTGTTATACTGAGGGAGTTTTTTGGAGTGTAGGTATCCTTTAGCTGAACACAGCTGTTTCTCTAAGAGCCTGTGGAAATAAAAGGGGAAGATAAATGCCTGTTCTCTAGCATGTGTTCTAGGGAAAATGTCATTGGGGGTAACTGACTGCTTGGAGAAGAATGCAGGTCAAGAGTTCTCCCAAGAAACAGTTTAAGGTGTGGTTACTAACAGAAGATAATGCAAATAGGGAGCTCGTGAGATGCACCCCTGTACATATCTGACTCTGAGAAGGAACAGAGAGCAGATCAGACCAGCAAAAATATCAGCAACAAAGGGTTGCAAGACATGGGGGTCATGGCAGTATCTGGGGACACAATGAGAAGCTCCCTAAATTGGAGTTGAGGCCCTCCAGGAGAGGGGAGGAAGTTGGCAACAAGTCTTAGTCTTATAAGTAAATACTTGTGTGTTATTATAATCCTCACTGTGCTGCTCAGTATGGTGCTCATTCTTGCTTTCCTTTTGCAGGTTTGCTAAAGGAGCTGCTGAAATCTGATAATTTTGTATCCATTCTTATGAATAATGCAAAGACAGAGGAGGAGACTGAGAACCCTGACTTTTTAGAAGGGGAAAATCCACTGCCACTTGTTCTCAAAAAGGTGATTGCTGAAGTAGTAGTGAATTGTTGGTACCCATAAATAATTTGCTGGGCTGTAATGAACATTTATCTAAGGCACTGTATATATAAAAAAGCAGAGTGTTCTGTTACCAACAGCAGCAATAGAGGCTGCACTGAGAAATGGGGATACCTCTGTTTTTCACCTTCTTGTTCATTCCTGCATCCTGGAATGGGGAAAATTTTACTCTTGGCCTTAGCTGATCTTACTCATTTACACTTGAGGTCTGATACAGCACATGCAGCAGCAGCATGACTAAGCCTGGGGGCAGAACTATTCTTACTCATGATCTACTCTGTTGTAGTTCTCATGTGCTTTTTTGAGTCTCTTTGGTTCAGTGTTTTATCTTACCTTAGCAGGTTTAATCTGTGAAATAAATGCCAAAAGAGAGACTTTAATTTATGTTTTAAATTTTAAAAAGTAGAACAAGCTGTTTCCTACCGACAGCCGCGTAGCTGACTTCCTTTCTCCTTTTGACTCTTGCTTCCCAACAGCTCTTGTTGACCAGAGATGAGATGTTACAGGCAGCGAGTTCTCACTGTATGGCTGCAGTGCTGGTTCACTCTCCTAGCAAATATGCTCCTGCTTTTATCCATGCAGATGTTCCAGGTGAACAAATGCAGTAGCATCTTATTGTTCATTCCCCAGCATCAAAGCTGCCCCTGGCTGTTTGGTTTAGGAATCGGGCTGTCTCCATGAAATCCACTGGTGCCATAACGTGGTGGCCATTTTATACCAGGTGATTTTAGGAGTAGAAGGGGAGAGTATGTTTTCAACTGAAAGTTCAGAAGCAGGTGTCACCAGGCAGAATGGAGTTTCCACTGAGAGAATTTGGCCAAGTACTTGAGGTCAAGATCCTTCTTGCAGGACCTTAGATACAAGTTTAAACAAACTGGGTTCCATCTCATTCCACTAAATATTGTAAGTTTGCTCAGATTTTGGTCTAGGATTTAGTTTTAGAATGCAGCTATGGGAGATGGTTTATTATTTCTCTGTAATCCCAAAAGACAGAAATACTTTCATGATATAAATTCTTTGGGAAATGTAAAAGTCATGAGGAAAAAAAGGTCACTGCATCTGTGATAAAGCTTGCTTTGTGGCTTTTCATTTGTGCCAAAGGCTAGATCCACAATTCAGCTCCTTCCCACTGAGTTTTTGCTGGGAAGATGCCTGCCCAAGGGTCTCTGCTCTCCAGTCACCTCTTTTTGAAGACTAGCATACCCCTGAGCATCTACTGTGTTCTCCATTCCTGCCATTTCATAGTACAGCCGTTCTCCCTGTGGCTGTTGCTATGTTTCCTCATTTCCTCCTCCTTCCTCTGCTCTGTTCTAGGAGCAGCTGTGCCATGCTGTGAGCAGCCTGCTTCTTACCAGGGTGGCCTTGTTTATGTGTGTGTTTGCAGAATTCCTCTTTGAGTGTCTCTTGTGCAAAAGTGAAATCCTCATGTGGTCAGTGTACTGCTGCCTGCTCCTCCTGACTGAAGAGCGCCTTTTCTTCTCCAAGTGTCACACTGTCTATGGTGAGTCATTAACCTTTCTGGCAGAGTGACTGCAGTAATTCTTGTGCCTCTAGCTGAATTCCAGCACTTTACACACAATCACAATTCCCAGTCAGGATGGATGAAGGACTGAAAATAAAAAGTACCTATCAGATATGTTTGTGATGTCCAACATAGTTTGAATTTATAGTGTCATTGCTGTAATGAGTTTCTGATGAGCACTAATTCATTATTATAACCAGTTATCATGACTGACACTCTGTGAGTTACTATTAAGTCTTTCCGTGGGTATGCCAAGAGTAGATTTAGGAAGAATGCTTAAATTCCTTCTGTTCTTTAAGACTTATCTCCGGCAGTGAAGGTTGAGGCATGTTATGAGGGAGCTGTGTGAACACTCAACAGTTTTGGACAGTTGTTTCTGTCAGTAGCTCAGAAGAACAATTGTTCAAATCTTTCTTTCTTTTAAAAATTTATTTTGCTTCCATTCTGGAATCTGGAATGTTAAAAGCCTCTCTGTGACTTCTCTTGAATGAGTACAGGCATTGAATCTCTGGTGAGGAGTCTCCGAGGTGTCCTGCTGCTGAACAATGTGGAGTTGCACAAACAAGGTCTCCTGCTCTTCACAGAAATACTGAAACGGTAAGGGAGTACCCTGTCAGGCTTGCAAAAGTGCCCCAAAATGGAGACTGTGAGGCTTTTGCTTTTAAGATTTTCTTCCCGAACCAGATATCTATACACAAGAGTTTTTGTATTTAAAGGATGGTGCTGAACTTTCTTATCTCCTTTATTCTTGGCAAAGAAGGGCCTGATGGTTGTTTCTGAACCTCCCAGCTTGTCCTGTTTGTGCTTACATCCACCACTAAATCTTCCTCTTCCTGCTTCCTTGCCCATCAGGGAGGTGAAATCTTTTTTCAGCTGTAGAGAGAAGGCCAGGAAGGTCCAGGCATATGTGAGCAGGCCAGCTCCTGCTAAATGTGCCTCTGTGACAAAACAAAGCATGCAAATTCCATGGCCTCTGGTCTTCTATCATCATCTGAGCTAAATTCAAACTGCAAAACCAAATTCTAGGCTGAAATATTAACGTCTTCTGTCACTTTTTTCCTCTTGTTTTTTGCTAAGAAATAATATACACTGGCTTGTTTTTCTTCTGTGCTTCCTGTTCTTGCCTTTATGATCTTGTTCCTATCCTGTCATGCTAGTGACAGAGTCTCGTTTTTGCCACTTAGATCCCCCAAGAGAGCCCTTGAGCAGAATTTTGGAAATGTCATAGTCAATTTTGTAGCAAGTGGCAGGGTAAAAAGGAGAAGAAAAAGCAACAGTGCTAGAACAGTGTGGTAATGCCAGTGTGGGATCTGTCAAAAAGAGAAACCAGGATATGGGGAACACTAATTACAGTATTTATGCTTGTAAAACAAAGAGAACACTCTGTGCAGTTGCTCTAATTTTCTCGTACACCCATTCTGTTTCTCCGAGCTTTGCCTTAGAAATCACGTTTTATTTAAAATTATCTCATAGTGGGGAAAAGGATCTTGTGCTGGAACCTCTTGTCCTGGTTTTAGCTTGCAGCTGGATTCTCTTGTGTAAGTGAGCCACACATTCTGGTGAGGTCCATGCAGGATGTACTGCTCCCCTTGGCAGTATGTCAGGAGTGTTGGGGTAGCTCTCCCTGGAGTGACCCTTGTCTCTCCAGCACAATCAAAGTGGCAGGTGCAGTTTGGGGCCCAAAGATGAGAGGTTGCAGAAAGCTGTAAGAGTGCTGCCCTTCACACTTTCCCCCCGGGCCCTGAAGATATCACAGTGCACCATCTTGAAAGTGGGTTTGTGCATCTTGAATGAGTCAGCAGTACTCCTCCATCCCTTCTTCCCTGCATGAGTCAGTGAAGACTTTTTTCTTCCTGATGTGTTTTACTTCAGAAGGTCAGTGATTAAAGAAAGAAAATACAGAGGATTAATAGAATTAATAGAATACAGATAATTAATAGAATTACCCAGTGTGAGTAGAAGCAACTTGGAAGTTCATTGCATCACTTGCATCACTCCTGATGCCTGAGTTCCACAAGTCCTTTTCCTTGCCATGCCCACCTCACAGCTTTTTCTCACAGCAGAATGTGAGGTGGCTGCGAAGCTGGGTTCCATCCCACTGAGTGACTAAAAAGAGTGGTTCTTCCTCTGTTCCTTTTTTGCCATGTAACTGGGCTACTGGTGTAATTTCCACTGAAGTTCACTTTGCTTTCCCATTTGTGCATGAGAGCATGTGCTCCTGGGTTTCTTCAGTCAGGCATGACTGTGAAAATTGAATAACGGGGAATAGTTTTGGCTCCCAAATCTGGCTCCTGTTATGCTGTGCTGCTTTTCTTGCTTCACTTTGGAGGGACCCTCTGGCAGGCTTTAACTGCCTGTCTTCTCCCTGCCCTTCTAACTGTACCTGATTTGCCAGGAGCCAAATGAGCATAGTCTGCCATTTACACAGGTCTCTCCAATAATGGGATTAATGGCCTGTTGTCCCTCCATGCTCTCATGCTGAATGGTTTGGTCAAAGGTGTTGGGCCACAGATGACCAAAATGCTCGCTGTCGAGAAGGATTGTCAAAGCAATTGGATTGTGTTTATTTTCCTGTTTATTTTTTCAAGTTTGTGAAGGTTCATGCCCTGGTGGCACCTGGCATTAGGAGTGCAGTGAGAGAAGCTATTCTCATGGCATTATCCTCTAGGATGGTGATGTTTGCTTGTATACTTAAAAATATAAGTTGCTAGATGAACTCACAAATGCCAGAGCAGATGGCCTGAATATAGAGTCCTAGGCACAGAGATCACTATATTTTGCAAAGCTTGTTTTTCTTGTGCTTTTCCTGACTGTGTTCTGGAGTAGTCACACAGTTATCCAGGCTGTGGATGTTTTATCATAGTAGTGCTTTAGACTGGCTGAAATTTCCTCTTTCTAGCAAACCCTCTACCTGCTCAAGTGTGAGAATACCTCCTTGAGGGCAACTGGCTCTCAATACTGAAAAAACGTGGCTGCAATCTCATGGCTCTGCTGTCCGTTTGCTGAAATGAGGGAAGGGCACTGCAGTTACCTAACTCTGACAGCATTCTCCTTGCTTATTTTGTTTTGTCTTCACAGGCAGCCAGTGGAAATCAAATTGTTCACAAACCGAGGTGTATGCATAGAAGCCATTGATGTTTTGATGGAGACAGTGAACTGCCCAGTGCTGGAGGTGGTGGTGGAGGCTGTGAAAGCTGTGGCCGCTTTCCTGAGGTAGGCAGGAATGTATTTGCAGACTTTTCTTCAGATAGATTTGTTGATACCATCTTGGGCTTTGCAGTTCCCCTGTGGCTGTGTGGGTGAACGTGCTCTGCAGTGGGACTTGTGGCTGAGGCAGGCGTGGGTACAGCAGAGCCAGCTTCCCACCCACCTCAGGAAAGCTGCCAGGGCAATGAAGCTGTGGCAGGCAGCAAGTCATTGCAGCAAGGACCTAGTGTTCCAGGCAGGCTTGTACAGCAGCTGTTGTGGATTTGTCACTCTGTGCCCCATCCAGATTGATAAGAATAATAAACGTAAGGCTCTGGACAGTCATGGGCTTCCTGACTGTAGTGGGAGCAGACAGAGTACTGAGGGTGTGTTTGGGCTTATGTGTGGGTGAAGGCACTATTCAGATATTGTGACCTTACTATGCTTTGCTAGAGAGAAGTGGCAGTGGCATATTTCCATCAGAAGAGCAGTTATTTCTGATGGTGTTGCCTTCCTAGTGGAATGTCCCCTGCAGGGACTGTGCATCTTGTCTTTGTCTTCGCTTGTTAAGGAAGGATCATCTGAGCTCCCCTCCAGTCCCATATGAAGAACTGCAGAAGCTTCTGGAGGCAGTGCTGAAGCGATGTGCTGACCTTTCTCCACCACAGAGTAATAAGAGGCATGCAGTAAGTCAGAAGCTGTTGCTTGTTGGTGGGACTGAGCAGGACAGGGATGATCTTCTTATGTCGATGTTTTGTATATGTTCCATCCCCTTGCTTACTTCCCCCGTGGCTGTTTGCTTCTCTGCTATTTCTTCTGATCCTCTTGCCTTGAGATGGTACCAGAATTTGAAGCAGATGAAGATGGATGCTGGTGAATGAATCCTTCTAAATCAGTGAAGTTCTGTGGGGCACTACTTGAGCATGCTACTCTCTTTATGTGTCCAAAGTACTCCAAAGCCGTTTGAACTTCTCCATCTTCCCACCCTCACCTTGTAGGCTGCATTGGTCAATCTATTTTTTCAGCAATGAACATTTCTTGTTCTCCATTCAGATCAAGAGTGTCATCTTGTATGCACTGTGATCCCTCACAAGGGAGTTGTTAGCCACTATTTGAACTATAACTCTTTCCTGTTCCTGGTATCCGTAGTTAGTGTGGTGTGCTGCTGGGACCTCTGCACTTCTGAGAAGAGCCCCAGGTGCAGATAGCTAATGAAAAGACAAGGGTTGAGCCTTCTTGCTGTAGGCTTAGAGCCATGTAGGTTTAGATTTCATGCCAGTAGTGGGAAGAACACCTCAATACTCAAAGGAGTAGCAGAACTCCAAATTCATGATGAACTATTTTTAGACCCAAGTTCTGTGGTACCAGATATTGGCCTTCTCTGCCTGAAGAAGGCAGAAGTGCTTTCTGTCCCATAGGCAGATGTAGGCCAGTCAGTTTCCACACACACAGAGCTAGGTGTCCCTTTCAGAATTGGGAGTTTCACAGGAAGGAAGTTAGCTAGTGAGGATATGCAAGCTGTGTTTAAAGGGAGAAAAGGGGAAATGCTGATACCTCTGCCAAGGTATCTCAGCATGAAATGGAGAAGGAGTTCTGAACTGCCAGGCACCAGTGTATAGCTGTGCCCTCCTCTGGTATTATGGAGAAGACCACCACAACAGGTTAAGGCTTAAAGGCAGATTTTGAGTTCCAAGTTGTTCCTACTTTGAGCAAATGATTAACTCTGACGCTTCAGTTGGCTTCAGGCTTAATTCAGTGGGATGCTGTGTGGGAACAAGAATTAGTACATGGATAGCTGCTTAAAACTCTGAGCCAAAGTAGAACTTCTAAGATTTCATCGCTAAGCAAGGAGAAGAACTGTTCTGTGTTGTCTGAAAAGTATTTGAAAGAAAGAAAATTTTTAGAAGTACAGGGTTTTCTCAGAAGGAGTTAAAGCTCCATTAGCTGAAATGCTTAAAACTCATATTAGATCAAATCATGGTAATACAGGCTCTAAAGACATGGCAGTGCAGAATTAATAGCTCTGTAACTCTGTCCTCCCTTGGAAGAGCACACAAGGTGTTTAACTCTGCCCTCTCTGGGGAAAGCACAGTAGTAAAAAAAATTGTGTGAAGGAGTGAAGTGAAATCTGTTGTTCCTCTTGCTGCTGGTGTCAGAGGAGAAAGCTATTTTTTTCTGAAAGTGGATGTAAGATTTTAAAGACTTCTCTCCTTTAACAGGGCGATCTTCTATTCTCAGTGTCTCAGAGTCACTCGGCAAACAGAAATCTTGGTAGAGTTCCTCAGAGACAGGGTCAGTTCTTGCTCAATACCCTGGAAAGTTTCAGAAATGCTTGCAGGTGAGGACAAGTCAGGAAGGTGTGTGGGTGGGTGGTGTGTTTCCATGTCTGTCCACTCTTCTGTTCTTGTGACTATGTTCCTCCACCCAGCCCCACCACAGAAATATCACAGGTGAATTCAGTGCATAGCATTGGACAGTGAAACAGCAGAGTCAGGGGTATGTATTAATAGTGAAAATTTTTGTGATACCTGAATATGTCTCCCATGAAATTTGCCTGGGACCTGTCAGTTTATTTCACATCTTCGGGCTTTGAGGGACTGCTTGAAAATTCACCAAAACTACTGATAATGTAAGAACTATTGGAAGGTATGTGTGAAACCAGATTCCTGTTCTATGTGGTTTCACTGCCAGAGGGGATTAACCATTTAACAAATGTAAATCTGCTCCAGATGCTGGCCTTGGATTTGCTCGTGTCTGTGACCTGTTACTGGAAGTGGGTTTATGGGGACCAACTTTACCTCTTTTGCTGGATCAGAGCTATTTGGCATCCTTACCTGTATATCAAACAGTGGTAGATGAGTTTGAATATGAATCAGGATGAATCAGGATCAGCTTTTAGGGTGGTCTGGCCAAATTAGTTTTTGCCTTGCATCACTTGGGTTGGCTGAGATAATTCAGTCAGAATCAGACATACCTTTCTGCACTGACCCAGAGTCTTGGGGTCGTGTTAGAGGGCACTCGGGTTCTGTCATGGATTTTATATCAGCTAAATGGTCCCTTGGCTGATTTTCACAAGGTTTGCTGTGTTGTGCATCAGGCATTCTGGTATGGCTGAAAACCAGTCTTGCCACACCAGAGCTTCCCACAGCACATGCTTTCTTCACAGAAACTAAGTCTTCCTTTCCCAATGTGTACTGTTGTGCAACCTTGATGACTTTTGATAGCTTCACTCAAGAGGTAACTGAGTGTGATTGCCAGATTCCTCTCTTTCCAACCCATCGAGTGTTTGTGGTCCTTTATGGTGAAAATTGTGATTAAAATGTAGTATCTCCTGGCTTTCTTTACAGAGTGAGGAGGTTTCCACTTTCCTCTGTTATCCACTGTGTATTTGTAGGTTAGCTGTGGAATTCCAGGGTGACTTCATGGCCCAGGAGAATGCTTTCACTGCCCCCAACTCTGAGAGCAAAGACACACTAAGCAACTTCTCTGAGTTCCTGTTGAGGATTTGTGACAGCCTCTGCATCCCCATGGTCATGGTAGGATTTCTTTTGAACTTGGTCTGTTCGGTGGGTACCTGGAAAGGTGCTTTCAAGCACCAAGAGTGGGTTGCACAAATGTTTTTTTTGGGAAAGAGGGCATGTCAAGTCAGCTGAGAACTTGGCATTTGCCACTTTTTCACAGCCAAATATGGAATTACATGGTTAATGAAAAGGTAGTGTATGCTCTCAGAGGGTGCAGAAATTCATAGAGTTTCCATGTGGATGTCAATGTCTTTCTTCAGACTATGCAATCCCATAGCCTGCCTACCGTGCTGTGGGATCCATTGCAGCTCTGGACGTGTCAGAAAATGAAGTGTGCCTGAACTGTTGTTTCCCCTTCTGCCACTTTTTCAAAACTTGCCTGTGTCCCAGACAGCTGCTATGGTTTGCACCTGCAATTTAATTTCTATGCTTCTTCCCAGAAGGTACTGATGAGGCTGCCCAGTCTGCATGGGCAGTATTAAGCATTGTGCCTCAGTAAGGCTGTGACATGATTTGAAAAGTAGCTGTGGAGACTCTTGAGTGCTTTTGTGCTCCATACAGGCCTGTCCCTAAGACACATCAAGCAGAATTGTCATAGCAATGGGACTTCTGTTGTGGTTCCTAACATTTAGTAAAGTTTGTTTGTGCTTTGTGACAGGTACAGTTGTATGGATTCTTGCACTTGTTAGGAGCTTGGAGATGTTTTGGTTGGTGTTTTCTTAACCAATCTTTTGGTAGGCAGCTGCAGTGGCACTGCTGTTCTCCTCCCTGACAGGAGGGTGCAGTGCATGTCCATTTTGGCAAAGCTGGAGTCAGTGTGCTGTTTCTTGCTCATTGAACTTGGGTAAAAATTAATGGACTGTGAGAAAATTGTCCAGTGACCTTCAACAAGAGTGAGTTGAGTCATTCTGTTCTAAACAGTTCAGGGCTGGATTCTGTAGAGAGCTCAAATGCCTGTGTTTGCCACTGCTCAGTGAAACACTGAAGCACAGGTGTGAAGTGTTGCTGAGGTGAGCTGCACTTAAACATGTATCCTATGTTGTACAGGAGAATTAGCCATCTGACCTGTAAGAGCAGTAACTTCCAGGGCAGTGTGGGCAGTAGTGACAGTCACTGTGCATTAAGGTTTGACTGGTTGCTTGCTGGAATCCGGGAGAAGTTTCTTGTCAGGTGGGATGTCTGGCAGAGTTACCAGCACAGCTCATAGCGCTGGCAGGGGGAGTGTTAGTTGTGTTCAAAGTGCTCTGTGAGCCTGCTCTGCTGCCAGGCATTTTGCTAAAAGAACTGCTACCCTATTTGTTTGGATTTAGAAACCTGAATTTCTGGGCAGGCAGGGGGAAGGAAGGAAGCTGCCTTCAGTGTTTGTAGCATCTTGTGTATTTGTCTTTCCACAGAGCTATCTGGAAAGGGCTGTCAGCCCATCACTGACGGAGGTTTTCATCTCAACACTCACTACCCTCTTTACAGTGGTGCCAAGCATGCAGAATAAGTTCTCCAAGAAGCTGGGTATGAGGGTATTGTGGGATCATGCTTTCTGTGCTCTTAACTGGTGGAACTTGCTGCTACTGCATATTACTGAGGCAATGAGCCTAACATTGAGACTTTATGTGGAGGATTCTATTACAAGTTTATATGAGTAAGGATAGAGTGCATAGTCATGTTCAGCAGGATGGAAAAGTTATTTGGTCTGGCAATGATGATGGGACAGGTTTTATTTTGGATAAGAATGTCGTGTCAGCTTTATCCTTCCCTCTGGAATAATTCAGAGTTGAATTGGCTGTTCCTGTAGACAGGGATTATGCTGGAATTGTTGGTGGGATTTCACTGTGTAGAAATCCTAGTTTAGTCTATGTATGCCTTATTCTTCACACATCAGAGAGGTGATATAGAGAATTCCTCTGTTCTAAACATGTGAAACAGGCAAATCTTCACTTCTCCTGAGAAAATGAATCTCAGATACTCTCCTCACACCCAAACTTGGAGTAGTTTACTTCCTAAGAGTCAGCCTATATGTGTTCTTACTGAGATGGCCTGCCCTCTTCACCAGGATTGTATGGAGATGTGTGGGGGTGGTTATGGGACCTGCCTACTCTTTTTCTTATCATACATCTTCTGTGCTCCTTTCACATCTCTGTCTCGCTTTCTGTCTAGCATCCTCGTCCTTCATCCGACTGACACTGGAGCTGAAGGCCAGATTTTGCTCTGTACAGAGGTATTGTGATGTGTGCCCTGTAAGTGAGCCAAAAATTTCCAGATGGGAAAGTAGATCATGCCTTATCTAATACACCTGATTAGGCAAGATGAGAGGCTGAAAGACTCAAGAATGGTTGTGTCTTACTGAAAAATGTAAATGGTTACTGACAATGGAAGAGCTTGATGTGGGAGAAGGGAGAAGCAGTTTGGTAGGGGGCGGATGGATTTACACGGCACTGTGAGAATTCTGTGCTCTGTCGTGAGTTGCACAGATAGAGATAAAGCAGCCTGACTTTGGAGTAGTCAGATCAGTGGGTGTTCTGAAGAGAAGTACCAGTAGCATCAGTTCCATCTGAGCTCTGGCTTCCTAAGCATTTACTACCACGTTTGCTGTTCCTCGTGGTGTGATAATATATTAGAAACGGGAGGAAGGAGGATAACTTCAGTAGCAAGCATTGCAAAAGATCTCCTGTAGTAGAGGCTATGATTTCTAGGTTGAGGACTATTTGAGGAGACTCTCTGTGGGTCTGCAGAGATATTTTACCTCCTCTTTCCTGTGACTGTACCTCATTAAAAAAGTAAACAAAACACACAGCACTCCTAGTCCAGTTTACTAGTGTGGAACTTCAAGTGGGGGCATTTGTGCCTGTGAAGGGTGTGTGGTGGAAGTGATCTAGGTTTCTGAATAGAGCACTGTGCTGTGCCAAGGATGGTGTGTTACAGATGTCTGCTTATGTCCTGTTCTGCAAAGAAATGGTTGGAGAGAGAGAAATACCTGGAAATAGCTGTTCTCATCCTTTTAGTTAATATTTTGGCATTCTTCGGTGTTTATCCTTGGCAATGTCAATGCTAAAAAATCTTAAGTGTTGTTTGCCAGTGGAATCATGTATTGTGAGCTACTCTTAAACACCTCCCATTCTCTGCAGTGTTGGGGCTCCTTACAGGACTGCCTGTGTAGGCAAGGTGTGATGGTTATGGGTACCCCACTGTATTCACACTGGCCCAAGGTATGGACGTGTTCACTGTTGTCACTGCACACACCCACCACATCTGTGAGCTGACAGTCCATTGGGAACTCATCATTTTCCTGGAAGCCTAGGTTGGCTCCTAGAGTCTTCTTGTGATGGGGCAGGTGCTTGTATGTGATCATTCAGTAAAATGAGATTCTGGCAGACAGTGTGTGTATCAGAAGTAGGAAGAGGATATTTCTAGCCTCTTTTACTGTCTTTTTCTGCTCTTCTTCACAGTAATCCTGTCCTGAATCACACCTGTTCCAGCTTCCTCTGCAGCTTATGCCTGAACCTTTATTCAGCCACAGAGAAGACAAGAACTTCTTCTCAGGAGGGCAAGTTTGGGGAAAGAGAAAAATTGTTTCATTTAGTTTGAGGCCCTGCCACCCTCTGTTTAGGCAACAGGTGAAAAAAAATAGAAAAGGACAAAGGAGAAGGGAAGGGAGGACACACAAAGCTTGATTGAGAGATTTTTTTTCCCCCAGCTTGTTTTTAAGCAGATCCAGCAAGGACCAACAGAAAACAGAAAACACTCAGAAAATGCCTTTTGAAGAGTTTGGAACCCTATCTGAAAGAATGCATTTCATCTGCCTATGGTTATTTTTACATGGGGGCATTTATTAGCACAGGTGTGCATGCTTAATTGAAACAAAATTACTTGCCACAGTCAAGTGGCATATCTGCAGATTGAGGTAATTTTTTCCTTCTGGCATACTCTGTAAAGCTTTCCTGTCTGCACTGTAACTTTTCATAATAGATAAGTCCCAAACAAATGAGATGAAAGTTTCTACATCAGAAAAGCCACTTTTCCCATTAGCAGTGGTTGGTCACCATACAGGCAGCATCAGCAAAGGGCTCAGAATCTCAAACAGACTATGTTTTTTCATCCTTAAAATGTCTTTTCATCCTTAAAGCCAGCTCTGTTAAATCAGGTCTCACACCAGTATTGATGCCAAATCCCAGAGATGTGCTTGGTGTATGCAGACTGTGGAGTTGATCCATAGACATCGCTTATCATTTCCTGCCTGCTTATGTTTTTATTTCTAGAGCAGGAGATGTCTGAGCTCCTGCAGAAGGGTCTGCCTCAGTTAAACTACACCATTGCTGAAAGCCTTCTCCTCCTGTCTGAAACCCCTGAGCCTTTCTTTTTGGATCAGTCTCTTTGCAGCCACCAGCACTGTTTTGTGCTACTCTTATACTTTGCCTACACCTTCGGGGACAGGTGAGCCAAGACTAAACAAAGCAAGTGGCCATTACATACCATGTATTGGTAGGTAAAGCATATCTGTTGTAACTGTTTCCACTCCAATCTCCTTCAATGCAGGTTTGTTCCAGATGCAGAATTATTTCTAGCTGTAAGAAATTTTCTCCTGTCAGCACAGGACCATGGAGACTGTCCCCCTCCACACATACTCAGAGCTGCACTTTACCTCCTTGCTGTCTGTCAGGACAAAGGCAAAGCCCTGGACATGGTAAAAGAAGATTTCATTCCTACCTCTTTAAGCCTTTTTATTGAAACTAAGGTTTCTCCCCTCTCACACCAACCTACTTGTAGAAAGTATTTTGGCATAGGTGGTGAGCAGTGAATGAGTGAAGATTGTGCAGTGCATCTACACTCTGGAAAGTGAGCTATGAAAATACACAGGGGAATATAGATATGACAGAGTAAACTTGTGTATGTGTGGGAAGTGTAACTGCGTTGGATAGGCTGTGAATTCACATACAGAATATAATGAATTTCATGGCTTGGTCTCCCAAACACATCTCCAGCCTCTGCAGCAGGCTTTCTAGTGTTCCCATAGGGCTTTTTGCTGCTGCACAGCTTTGAGCTCTGTATAAAGCCTACAGGTTTCTTAGTCTTTGTGATGCAAATGGGCTTCACAAAATGATGTTTAACTGATGTGTTTGATTGTCTGCTGAAAAGGCAGTGCGACTGTTTCTTGCAGTAAAGTCTCACCACTTCAGATGCTTTATATGCAGTATTAGTGATTATTCTGTTCTCTGTCCCACTTCTCCTTTCCCTCTTTACCAGAGATCTTTGTCTACCATAAGAAGGATGCTGGATAATCTTCCAGATCTGAGCTTGGTCTATGTCCATTGTCCTCTCCTGCTGAAATTCTTCCTGCGCTACCCTGAACTCATGGGGAGATTTGGACACCAAGTCCTCCAGCTCTGGTTTTCCTGGGAAGACTGTAAGCAGACTGAGGTTGAAGAAGCTGATTTTGGCTCATCTGATCAGCTGAACAGTGCTAACCCATTGCTTCCCATTCTGAAGAGCAATTCCAGCATTTTGCTTATTTTACTGGTATGTGGCTTTCGAAGGACGGGCTGCTGTCTTGGCCCTGATTTTGGGGGGCTTTTTGGTTCTTAAAGGTTTTAGTGATGTTATGAAACCAAGGATTTTGATAGAAGGGGCCGTGTGTGTCTACACAGATTTCCATCTGCCAGGGAAGCCTTATGTGGAAAATGGAACCTTGTATGTGTGTTATCTCTTTCTCTGTCATCCATCTGCTGTAACAGGAAGGGATCCTCTGAGAGCTGGCTGGACAGGGATCTGAAAAGTTATGCTGATGTCGTGAAAAATCCCATTCCTTCCTCTACCCAGATACACAGCTGGGTACTTCAGATTCTTCAGTGCCAGCCTTTGAAGAAGCTGTTTTGCAAATTTGGGAGCAAAGCTTTGCTACTCACAGATGAGAAGGGTATAATGAACAAGAACTTTGAAAAAGCAGTGTGCAGAGAACAGGTCTTGAGGGCACAGCTTTCTGTTTGAGGTTTTCATTTTGTCTCATTTTAACTGGAGACTCTTGTCAGAGAATTTTGAAGTACTCTTGAGTTTTCACGACTGCAAATAACATGTTTTATTGCTCTTAAAAGATAAAATAAAAGTCTTTTGACAGGGAAAATTAATCGATTCAGGAGAGAAAGGGGCCTTGAAGTAGCAGGCTAGTGTGCTTGCCTTTAGCTGGTGTAATGATCTCTATTAACCCATGTAATCATGTCACAATCATGTCCTGATGGCTGCTTAGAGGCCTTTTCTCCTTCCACTGTTCTCACCTTCTTGTCACCTCCCCACCAGTGGCCTCTTGTCCCATGACTGAGCCAGTCACATAGTAAATATTTGCTAACTTTTCCACAGAAAAAAACATGAGATTTGCCTGTAAGGGCAAAAGCTAAGAGCTATGATATTTCTTCTTCAGTCTATTAGAGAAATGAAAACTATCATTGAGAAAGCAAACCCATGTCAGCAGATGGTAAAGAAATAGGAGGAAGCAAGGCTTGACTCTGAGTGGGCATCCACTGGGCATTACAGAACATGTTTGTTCTGATCTAAGAGGCTATGGCTAAATTTTAATATCTGATGTTACTGAGGTGAGTGCCAGGAGGGCTCTCACATAGGGCAGTCTTTCACAGTTGGGATGATATTGCAGAGTAGGTGACAACATCCAGGCATTTGATACCATTGCAGAGCATTAGTAAAAGTGAGCAATGAGTTTACATATCAGGACAAATTAAGGAGGTGAAGTGTCCCATGAGGCTTGTCCACACTGTTACCTGGCAGAACTACCTGGCAGTAGGTCTGGAGCCTATCACTCCATAAACTGAATCAACTCTGTCAATGAGCAAAACATAAACAGTGTCTCCCTTCCCTGAATGGTACAACATTCCTGCTTTCCCTTTTCTGCCTTGCCATATGCTCTTGGAAAAATAAATTCATTTAGCTCTGTTCCAGTCTTTAAAGTGAGTTGTAATAAGTCACAGGCTTTGACAATTCACCTTTCAGTTGTGGAAGAGCATAATCAATCTGGATTTAGATGGACTAATAAAACAGTGCAATATGAAGGGATGAATATACTGTCAGATGTGAAGAAAACTTATGAGATGAATAACCTAAGCCTCAGAATGCACTAGTAGAGTGGAAAGGCCTCTGCATGGTACAGTGAAACAAAGATGAGTGTCCTTCCAAGGATGACTTTGCTTATCTGTTTTAAATAATTGCCTGGATTAGATATAACAGATGGTTAGTGACTTCATCTGAGACCTTGAGCTTCTGGGTAGGAAGGAACCGATTAACACAATGGTGCATTTGCCAGGGCCAGAAAGGCTGTGGCCATTGGTTCATGTCATTTTGTACTCTGTATGTTCATCTGGTGGTGAATATAGACATGATGACACACTGTCCCACTTGTCTTCTCCATGCTCCAGGTCTGAGGTGCTCTCTCAGAGAACAGAGATGTTAGATTGCATTCCTGAATGTCATATGAAGCAGATCTATGTCAGCAGAGATGATTGAGCAGACATCTCCCTGCCCTTTATTTGTGAAAGTCTCTGCTAGAGGCAGGAATTCAGCTCAAAACTAGAGAGCTTTTCCTGGCACAGCCAGCCTGTTCTTTCCTTTTTTACTTTCCTTGGGTACGGGGTCCCACAGCCATTTTCTCTGCATCATCAAAGTCTGGATGCATTACTGCTGTGTGATAGGGGAAGGCAGCTGGGGGAGGCAGTAAGCTGTCCAGGCAGGCTGTAGGCTCAGTTGCTGAGACCAGTGTCCTGTTTACCTCTTCAACTCTACCATTGCAATGCAGTAGCCAGGACGATTGCAGGAAGAGAGGAAAGGTAGTGCTGACCTAATGTATGTTGAGATGGTCAGTTTATGTCAGGACTACCAGGCAGTTTTAGTCTGATATTTATACAACTGCCTCTGTACATGCTGTGCAAGTGAATTTAATGTTATGTACCTCAACATGAAGACTATGCCCAAATTAAGTGTACTGGCTGTGGGGTTCAGCTCAGAGACTCCAGACAAAGCTCTGTAGTCAAGAGGCAGGCTTGTGAGCTGTGTACATGACTCTCCTCTTTCCTGTGATTGATTGCTTGCCCAGCTTACATACGTTTCATGCAGTTTAGTTATGTTACTACTGCACATACAAGGCTGCCAGCCTTTTGAAAGTTAGGAACTATGGACTGACTCATAAGCTTGATTTTAGGCAAGCATCTTTAATATGCAAGCTGATTTTTCAAAACAACAAGGAGAACAGAGGTGCCAGAGATTCTGTTCTCTTGTTTAGGTCTCACTTGTTTAAAACTGTGACCTTAAATCTATGTTACCCTTACACTTATAGAGCCAAATCATTTTTTAAATGGGATGTTACTCAGAGGTGCCTAACAGACATGAGTCCTTCTGCTTTTTTCAGTTCTCTGTTTAATCAGGACATACTTAATCTTAATGGTGCTTTATTAGGCTGTTTCCCAAGGCACCAGATTAGCATAATGGTATTAAATAGTGGTGACTTCTGCCTAATCAGGGTAGAAAAGTAATGGGTTTGTTTCTTCCTTTCCAGGACCTAGTCTGCTCAAGTTCTGTGGAAGTGGCTTGGAAGGTGTTGATGACTCTAAGGACCTTTCTGGAAAGAAATGAGGATGTCCTTGTCTGTGACCTCCTTCGGAGCCGATTTTTACAGATTCTGCAGCAGCTGCTGGTAGAGAGCAGCTCAGCCACCCTACAAGGTGACCCCACCTCTGTGACTTGGTCTTACTGTAACATCAACTAGTTATAGGGACACAGTCTGGGATAAAGTGGTTTTGAACTGCTGATGTAGCTTCAGTACTTACCTGCATGAGGAAATTTATGGACAGAACTGTGCTAATGTAGTTTCCTTTTTCAGAGATTCATTTTGAAGTGAGAGTCTTTTTTTCTAATTTAGGTTGTTCTGGCTTCAAACTGTGATTGTTAAACCAAGACAAAGTTCTTGTATACTGCTGTCAGTGTTCAAATGGAGAGCTGTGCTGGTAAATCTTCCTGCTTGAATAGGGGCCCAAGTGGTGGCTGAAAGAGATCCTCCTTTTTACCTCCTCTTTGTGCAAAACAGCTGTGTGTGCCTGAGTATACACAGTTCCCAGGACAAGAAACCAGGAGCAAGGATTGAATCATTCATGGTATTGATCCCCAAACAGGCACTGTTGATACTGGTGGTAGCACCAGATCTTATAACTCTGTTAAGTCTCTCAGAGGGACCAAGGCTGTGACTGGGGGAAAGGCCCAAGTGGTGGCTGAAAGAGATCCTCCTTTTTACCTCCTCTTTGTGCAAAACTGCTGGGTGTGCCTGTTTTCCCTGTTTTCCTTACTAGCCTTGTCTGTGATGTTGGAACTGTTGTCCCACCAAGAAAGGTGCTGTGCAAACCAGTCTGTGTGATTGAACTGAAAGAGGGAGCAGTGCTAGGATGTCCTTGGCTCCTTCAGGATAGAGAGTTAGCACAACTTGTACTTGTTCCTGAGGGATGCACTGATGCTTTTAACAGCTTTGCTCTGTTTAAAGTGTTTTGTTGTGCAGCAGTTGGGATGGAGACAACAAGAAGGAAAGTGTTTTTACCTTACCTCCAGCAAAGTCAGTAGGCTGGAGGAGGGGCATTGAAAGCAGGAGCATGGTAGAGCATGAGGCTACAAGATCTGCTAGGTCTGATCTTGTTTGGAGTTGCACACATTTGAACTTTTATGTCCCTCTGTCGCTGATCTTGGGATGCCAGGAGCTGTGGGGAGGCAAAGTATCTGTTTCCTGTAGGGAGTCAGACCTATTCCTCCAAACCACTGGTGATGGAGGTAGGACACTGAGCTATAGGATCTTTTGCAAGATTTGAGCCCTTCTGCTGCTGCTAATACGTGTAGCTCTTTTTTGTATTGCATCTTGAACTTGTTAAGTGGCATCCTGGCAACCCATCCAGATAGTCAAACACCAGATGTACTCTGGAGACAGACTTCCTTGTCTCCCAGCACACAGGCATCTCTGTGAGGCCGGGGGCAGTTAAGTCCAGGGGATCTGCATCCCTATTCAAACAGTAGCCTGCTTTTAGACAAGAAGGAGGCCCAAAAGTTGGACTCCATCAGGAATATGTTAAGATTAAAGACACCCATAAATGTTTTCTCCTCAAAACTGAAAACTCACATGCCTTTGTGAAAATGTTCACTGGAGATGATAGTTGCTTGCTGTACATATGGCTGTATACAAAATCTTAACTTGTTTACAGCACTGCAAAAAAGGGAATAGTAGGGAGAGGATTGCTCTGTGGGGTTGGTGGTCTAAATAGCCCCATTTTCCTTACATACAGGCTTGATGTGTGAGGTTTTCACTTCTGTCTCTGCCCTTCCTTGTGGGATGGGATTCTCACAAGATGGAGGAGAACAAATGCTGTGCAGCTGGGCTGCTGTCAAAAGTAACAGTGATGGTCAAGTGGGCAGGAAGGGAGCAGTCTAGAAAGGGCTGATGACTTCTAGCTTATGAGCAGTATCAGTTTCAAAGTGTGAGGAACATGCTCCCTACATAGCTCATCATGGGTGTGAATGACCCTAGCCTCTTTTTCCCCCTTCTTTAGTTGCTCCTGACATGGTGTTGGCAGGATTCAGGTGTGACTCAGGCCAAGCCAGAGTGACAGAAAGGGGACCTGATCCAGAGGGGACTGTAGAGATGAGAGTAAAGTTGGGGCCATGTGTGTGTGTGTCCTTATTCCAGAGCCAGAAAATTAACAATTCCTGGCACACTTTAAGGTACAACAGTTTGGAGTTCACTGACAAGTTAAGCTGTTTGTGCCCTTCTTAGCTAACAGGAACCTGCCTGTTTTGCTGAGCCTTCTTTTCCTGGTGCAGCTGCGGAGCAAAGGCATAAGGGAGCTGGACAGCACAGACTTCAAACTGCTTCACCAGGGTGAGTATGTGCATCCATCTTCTCCCAGGGAAGTGTTTGTTAATTGTTCCATATGATGATTAGGGGCTTGCTCCTTGTCCTTTGAGAGAAGATTGCCCTTGCATTATAGTAATGGTTGCTTTGAGATGCTTTCATAGCCAGAGCATTGTAAAGAGTTGTGGTAACTAATTCAGTTAACAAAACCCAGGTTCTCTTCCTCTTGCTTTTACAATAAATTTTTTGTCTGAAACCTCACAAGGTAGCTAAAGTATTCCCTTGACCATGACATGATTTCAGGGTCAGTGACTGTCATTGGTTTGGTACATGACTGCATTGCTGCTGTGCTTCCTGGATCATTCCTGTCCATCCTTGCTGTAACAGTCTGGTGGGGTCCAGGCACAATCATTCCTGTTAATCAGCTATCAAGAACCAGCAATGTAGTGAAACTGGGCTTTCCTTGGAATGTGAATCCAGAGTATATGGCTTCCAACCACCTGCAGGGCTTGCCCACTCCACCTCAAAGACAGAAGAGCAGGCTCTGTTTGCTCACCATACCATGATCTGCTGCCTTGTCTGGTGATCCTTACTTGGTGACTTCTGCCTTCTTACTTGGCTATTGGAGGTTCATGTAGGCTGTGAAAAAAGAATAGATATGCGGAGGAAAGTTCAGCTGATCCATCCTCTCATCTCTTCCCTGCTCTGACAAATTGGTCTCTGCAGCAGACTTTGAAGGACTATCCCCTTCCATTTGAAATGTTTCATATCTCAGGGCTGCCTGTGTTGCCCTTGTAAAGAAGTGGCATTTCTCAGACATTCATTAGCCAAGGGAACTGGGGGGGTGGAAGAACCACAGCCTCTTTATCCCAGCCTTTTAAGCTGCTGTGATTTTAGAACACAGCTCAGCTTCTCCCAGGAGTCACAAGCCTCTTTTGCCCTTACTTTCTGCTTTGTATTTTTCCACACAACTCTCTCCCTACCCCAGCCACCCCATTTATTCCTGCCTTGGCCTCCTGACTGTGTTCTCTAGGGGTGGATGTGCAAGACACTCTTCTCTAATGAGGCCTCTTAGATGGAAGGGGTGTGTTGATGCGTGTTTTTTGAGAATTGCTTAGTCTTGTAATTGTAAGCTCTCCAAAAGATCTCCAGTGACAGTTTTGCTGAGCCCTGCAGTCCTGGATTTCCATCCCTAACTCTTACTAGACGTTGTTGCTAAGTGTTTGGTGCTTACAACAAACATGACATTTTACTCCGAGGGTGAGCAGAGTTGGTGAGAGTGGAGGAGCACAGCTCTCCATGGCTTTCCCCAGTCTGGTCACCATGAGAGACAGTCACATGGTTGTTTATGCTTGTTCTTGTACTAGAATCGAACTCACACTGTGCAAACAGATAACTCACACTGCAGTTTTTTTTCTGTGGAAACAGATAACCTAAAGTCCATTTCTCTTGGATTCATTACTGCCCCATGTGATATATGCACTCTAATATACCTTTTTCAATTCCTCTCCCGCCTCTGCACTCATCCTCCACTGCACTGTCCACTCTAAAGCAAACACTGTAGAGCAGACATCTGTTGCTTTGTCTGTGCCATGCTCTGTTTATTTTCAATGTGTCTGAATTCCCTCCCCACTGACTGACTTCTTTCATTTGCTGAAGTGCTCTGTTAACTTGGTGTCCTTGTTACACCTGTTCTTCTGTTTCCAGTCTGTAATCTCTGTGGGAAATGCAGGCCAAGGGACACTGACCTCCTGCAGCCATCCTTGAATTTTCTGTACTGGAGCCTTCATCAAACAACACCTTGTAGTCAACAGAGAGGTGAGGGAAGATTGTATTGATTGCTAAGTTAATTTCAGTGAGGTTGTAGCTTGACAATCAGAGACTGTATTCTAACTGTCCGAGCAGGTAAGGTGGATGTTTCCCCATCCAGACACAGCATTGTAATTAAAGACCATTTCATACTTTGGATGAGATTTTTTAGGTTGAGGAGTTTGGTTTGGTTTTGCTGCTTTCTCATGATTAAAGAATTGGCTGCTGAAAGACAGAATCACCGTATTTTTTTTGTTCATAAACACAGCAGTGGGCCTTTGATGCCTAGCTTGAAATATCCTGATATTGTCATAGTTCAAATAATTAAACAATAGTAGGGAAAAGATCTAACTGACTTTCCTGCTGTGTTGTTAGTTGATTAGCTGGCTGAGCAGTTGCTTGTGCACTGGGAGATGAATACCAGTAGCTGGACAGCCTTACTCAGATGAGCTGTGGCAGCTGGGCTGCCTCACTGGAGCAGGGGTGTGCTCTGCACTTCTGCACTTCTGTTATGCTTGTCAAGCTGGTTTAACCTGTGCCATCCCATCACCCTGTCTGATTCTGTTTCTCTCATGCAGCAGTGGCTGTGCTGCTCTCCAACGTGTCCTTGCTAGATCTCCTGCAGAAGGTTTTGGAATGCACCTGGCTGTGGTCCCCTCCTTCCAGACCTGCCTACCTGTCATCTGAGGATGCCTTGCTGTGCTCTGGATGGCTGCTGGTGGCATCCCTTTTGCTTTATCAGCATCGCTACAATACTGAGGTTAGAACCACTCTAAACCACTCTTGTGTTCAGAGTCAGCACATGGATAAACCTTAACAATAAATATGTGTGTAAATATGCATACCTACATACAGACATATATATATATGAAAGTGTTTTCATTTGGCCTGTAATCTGATTGTGTCGATTTCTCTTTTGTTATTGTCCACAAGTTATTCCCTGCTGCACCCCTCCAGCAGGACTGGAAGCTAGCGTGTCCCTCAAGGTCTGAGACATGAATAATTGAAGAGTTAAAAAGAGGGGTGCAAATCCTGTGGGGAGAAGTGCATACCCAGCCTTCCTGATCCAAATCTCTTTCCTCTTCAGGACAGAGCAAAATATATTTTAAAGCCTTTCTCAAGGGAAGACTTGTTGTGAAAGGCACATCTCCCATGTTGAAAACAGCTTTTTTGTTACTAAAATGATCAATAGTGAGATAGAACCTATTATTGGCAAGTAAGTGTTCAATATTAGCAAGCCCTTACAAATGTGGGCAGCTGTCATTGTATTTGATGCTTTGTAGTCCAACAAGACATCTAAGCTGGAGTTGTCAGCTATTAATGGAATTACAACTTTGAAGGAAGCATTTTCCAATGCCAATACAAGGGAAAATGTTTCCTTTTGAAGTATCTACCCAGACCTCTCTTGATATGGAGTTAGAGGGCATGTCACGAGTTGTGAGCTCTGCTCTTGCAGTTATGCCCAGCAGAGTATATGCTCTTTGGGAGTTGGAGCACTTGTTTGCAGGTGATAAAATCACATTAAGGACATGCATGCCTGTGCACAGAAAAGCAAGGGTTGGATTTCTAATGCTGAGGGAAGATGTTTTCTAGAAGACCAGACCATGCCAAGTCTGCACCCCTTACTTTGTCAGCATGCAGCCTCTGCTTAGGGCTTAGAGCATGGTACTTGTACAGACTGTCAGCTGTGGGAATGCAGCCTGGCCCTGCTCTGTGAGCTGCTAAGTACAGCCTGCCTTCTCAGTTTCCAAGTCAGGGCTGTGTCTGGTGCTGTGCCAGTCCCAAACGACATTTTAGTGTCAAGTGTCAAGTATTGAGCTTCATCTTCTGGGAGTGGCGCTCTCAGCTCCTATTGATCCTTGAAGTGCAATCATTTAGCAGTTTATAAGCCTGTTGCTTGATTTTATCAATACTACTGGCTTGATGTGCTGGGATATACAACCCAGAAATGTGTTTTGCACCAGAGATGAGGACAGAAACTGCAGCTACAGCTGGGAAATTGAAGCGGTTCAAGACTGCTTCAATGTTTCTAATCTTCAGCATTTCTAATTGTCAGTGCTTCTAATCTTCTGTTGAAGGGGAAGAAGCAGAAGAGTCACTTCTCTTGTTTTTTTCTGCTGTTCAGTGTAGCTGGAGCTGCACAAAACACTCTGGAGATTCTCATAAGAGCACCTTTGTGGCTGTGAATGTGAGCTGATGACAGGCTGTCTCCCTGAGCCTGCAGTTTTTTAGAGGAGAACAGTGGCTTCAAGAAATGGCCGCATTCATCTCAGGCTGATGTTAATAGTGAGGACTTGTCTGGCCATAGCCAACTTACATCTTAACTGTGTTACTGCTGCTGCCTTTACCCTGTGAATAAACAGGGCTCATGGATGGTAGACTATTAGAGGCTTTGGCTTGTCAGTTCTAAGATGAGCAGCCACTGCCACCATCTTGCAGGAGCTACTCCTAGTTCTCTGTGGAATATTCCTCTCTTCAGAGGAGTATTTAAAGGAATGGATCCTTATGCCTGCCTTCCCATATCAACCCTCTAGCTTTTTGAAGAGTTTGAACCCTTCTGGTGTTCTCTGCGGCTTCATGCCTTGCTCTTAAATGGCTGTTCTGTGAAGGAAACAATGTATTGCAGATTTTCCGCTCAAGCCAACCCTTCCTATTTCACCTAGTTCCCGAGTCCCTGAACTCCACTGCCTCCTTCACCCATGCAACAGTTCTGTCCCTGGACTCTTGGCAGGCCCCAGCTCCAGCAGGCAAGGACAGCTTCTGGCCTCTGCTAGTTTTTGGCTGCCTAGCTCCTCAGTCTCGCTGCCTGGCTCTGTGGCTAAGGTAGAGCCACCTTGGTGGTGGCTGTTTCTGCCACTTCATGTGCTTGGCAGGCTGACAGCCACATGCCAGAGGTCCTGCAGGGAGTAGTGAGAATAAGACAGACAAGGTGGGCTGTGGTTTGGAAGCTGTGCAGCTCAGGCTAATGGTGAGTGAAACATGAGGGTGCAATGACGTAATTCTCCCTTCTGTGTCAGCCTCCTGAAACCCTGTTGTTGTTCCCTTGGTTTTCAGTGGTCATCATAGGGTACTGTCTAAGAACTAGAAGTACATGATGGAGCTGTCTATCTGCTCCAAACCAGCACCCCTTTTTCTCTTCTATTTAATTCTCTTCTAGGTTCACCAGACACTCTCTGTAGACCTTACAGAAGTCCTGAATGCAGTCATCTTCAGGAATAAGAAGCCAATCCTGCTGTTAGGTATTTTGCATCTCTTGAAGGGATTTGTCTGGAAACTGCCACTAGTACCATGATACAAGCAGCAAGGGAGAATTGGTGACTATGGAATGGAATGGTGAGGGTGCTGGAGGGAATCTTGAAACTTCGGTCCGTATGACTTTGTAAATGTGTAACTGGTGGTGAGGAAGGGCAAAAGGGAAGTTCTGAAGTTCTTCTGTGTTTGGACAAATCTTCCTTGGAGGTTGGTAGTGACATCTGGAACTGTGTGTGAACTGTGTTAGCGTCTCAAAGAAGGAGATGAGCAAAGAAACTCATGTTGCCATTCCTGTCTACAGCTGTCAGCAGCTGCCAGACAACTCTGGTGGGCTATTAAGCTCGCATATTCTCTCATCACCCTCTCCCATGCTATTGCACAGGCACCAACATAGAGGGTAGAGCAGAGAAAAACACTGACACACACTAATAAGCATCTCCCTGTCTAGTGAGCATCATGCAGTTCCTGAGGGCTGTCCTGCGACAGAACTTCTCCTCCTCCCTGCTGGTGATTGTTGGCCAAAACACAGCCCCAAGTGCCACTCAACCACAGCCATCATCACTGCAGGACACTGCCCTGCACCCCCTTGCCATGCAGCAGGTCTCCTCGCTTGTTGTCAGTCTGCAGAACCTTCTGGTGCATGTCCAGTTGCAGGTATAGAAAATATTACTTTTGGAACATCAGTAGTGTTGGGCTTCAAGCAGGAACATTAACCTGAGGAGAAACCACCCTGCTGCAGAATCAAAGGGGCTGCCTGCTTGTTTTTTCTGCTGCCTGCATTTTCCACTCCTTAGAGACGTGTGATGAGGAGGAGGGAAAATGCTCTTGCTGCAGCACAGTGCAGTGAGAAAGAAGGTAAATCAAGCTGTGCGGTGCTCCCTGCTGCTCAGCTGGGTAGCTGAAATTCTGTGTACTAATGACGATTTCTGTCTTCCCATCTCTTTCTCTGCAGGGATGCCACATCCATAGGGAAAGATGTGGGAAATGTATAACAAATCCCAGTCCATCCCACATGCCCCTGACAAGGTGCTTTTGGGAGTAGTGAGTGCATCAGCATACAATTAACTTGCTGAAGTGATGCTGGCCTCCAGGGGTAGTACATCAGTTTACATTTAACTCTTAAGCTGTGTTGGGCTCCTATCTTCATTCTTTGGAGGCTGTTACTTATTATTTTTAGTCTCAAAATAAGTAGTCGTACCTCTGTCTGGCTCCTTGATGTGACAGATAATTTGCAGTACATTGCATTCCTTGAAGGAGATGAAAGGTGTTATTTTCCTGTGCTGCATACTCTTCTGATCCTGGCACTTTATGAATTTTCCTCTTGTAATAGCTGTTGACTGGGATTTTTTTTTTCTTTCTCTTGGTATTCCAGAAAGACTTGCTGCTCTCTCAGGCAGTGGTTGCCTGCCTAGAAACCTTAGTGGAATACCTGTATGTGAAGAACCAGGATGTTGGTAAAGTCTTCATATTCTTTCTTCTCCTAGTTCCCCTCCCGCAGTGATTTTGAGGCCTTTGTTCTCTATCTAGTAGCACTCTGGAGAAAATTTAATAATCAGTTTATGCCAAACAAGAAAAATTATTTGTGTGCCTAAAGTTAATATTGTGCTTTGTGGGATGGGATCACAGTGCCTGGCTCCCCTGCAGGCATGAACCTTCACTTTGGCTCTGGACACCAAGATGCTTTCCAGAAGGCAAAAAGTAATTCTCCAACCCTGTAAGAGGGAAAGGTTTGGGAATGGAAGGAGTATAGGAATAGTCTTTGACCTTCAGGCCAATGGTAGCAAACCTTTAGACCACAGGCATATGGGAGGGAGGATCTGAATGTGATGTGTCTTACAAAAGGACATTGTTGGTCATAGATTGGCCCTGAAGGAAAGGAAGGGAGAACAGGATATTAGGCAGCCTTAGGGAGTGGAAGATGGAAATCTGGATTTCCAGGGGTGAATTCCAACCTTGGTTTCCAGAGTGCATGTCAGACCTAATGTATACCATGTTTTCAGTATAACATAATATGACTGCATTGTACATTTGTACAATGTACATTGTACATTGCTGGGGGGGAAGAATAGACCTTTCTGCTTTTTGTCAGCCTCCTGCCACAAATCCAGGTGCTGGCTCCGTTCTTAAACCAGAAACTTCTCTGTATCCTGACCTGTTCACTTCAGTTGTTTAAATACTAATAGAGAAGGGAATGGAGTGAATGAACACCAGGCAAAAGGGACACTGGTGGGAGAGAGGAAGTGGTTGGGTAAAGATGTAATACTGCAGATGAATGACAGCCAGTAGCTGAAGGGAGGCTATTAAAAGGCTGAATTTAAAGAAAAAACGTTATGGGGAGGCTCTGCTGATTTGGGATTAAACTAATTAAATGCTGCTGCAGCAACAGCTGAACTTGTCACTTTGGCTGCTGTAGTGCTGAAGTTCATAACACCAATAACAAGAGTCTCCTTTATTCCAAGCAGAATGAGGGTCATAGCTTCATTTGGCTGAAAGATGCAAGAGCACTGGAAAGAGTCTGTGAGTCTGTTCTAGATTCTGCCTTTAGGAGTTGACACACTTGAGGCTTTCTAAAACCCTCTTTTGATCCAGAGATATTTCCAAATGTGCAGAGCAGACTCATGCACAGTGCTGGTGCTTTCTCATTTCTCCAGATGAAAGATATCCCCAAAATATTTTACATTATTTTTCAGTGTTGTTTTCCTGTAGAAAAGATTCTTGTAGTGGCAATAGGGAGGTTATGTGACTGCCAGTAGAAAAGAGACCTTTTCAACACTCTGGTGAGTTGCTATAGTATAACAAGTTATATCAGCTGATCTATTTGTCCATGCTCCTGACCTGGTAATAAGGTAATAACATTTTAATTTCAGCATTCAGTGAAAGACTTCATGCCATCATAGACTTCTGGCCTTACATAATACATGTTATGTTATCGTGTTTGTTCTTTTATAAGAACATTTTCTCTACTGACTGCATTGCTACCATCAGCCTGGCTGGTCCCCATAGTCCACTGTCTGATGCAGATCCAGCCTCAGTTTGTTCAGCTTCTGTTATAGGGCTTTCTTCATTACCCAGAGGGTATTCTGCAGCTAAATAAAAACTGAGGTCAGGAGAGTTGTCCTCATATTGAAACTGGAGGGTATTATTTTTAAAACCCCAGGCTAAAGATATTCTCTCACTGTTTTATGACATACACCCCAGGAGAAGGTTTCTCTTCCTGTACCAGCACAAAGATGGACCATATGTATTTTCTGCTTGAAAAGCTGTTAAGCTTTTGTCCTCTTGACTGAACTCTTCCCAGAGAGTGACAGATAAAAAGTAAATAAGAACAGTGAGAAATATCCCTTTAGCGTTTCACAGCATGGGGTCTAGGAGAGAAAACTTGTGATCAGTATTGAAGACTGTCCTTAGCTGGGTTCAGCCTGACACTTTGGCAATTTTACAGCTGTCTTTGATTGGCTTCTCCTTCTCTCCCAGCTCTGCACGTTGCTTCGCAGCCATGGCACCGATTCCTGCTCTTCACACTGCTCAGTGGGGGCCAGAAGTCCTTTCTGCAGCCAGAAGTTCTCAGGCTGATGACTTTGGTGAGCAGCAGAAGGGTGGGCTGTTCCCCATCTTTCCCAGCATGTTGGCACCATGCACGTGGGCTGGTTATTGGCAGTTAACCTGCTATGCAACACAGTCTCTGATACTGCTGTGGCTTTGCCTGGAACTGTATTCCTGCCCGGTATTAATAATGATACTTTCAAGCAAACTTCCACACCCTGCAGAAACTGACTGTTGTTAGTGAGCACCTCCCTGGTGTTGGTAACATTTATTTATATCATCTAGGATCCCTGGAGAGGAGAGGGGAAATTTGCAGAGAACCTGCAACTGCTGTTACCGGTCAGGGAGCAAGCTGGCTGCTTGGCATCACAGCTTGTCTCCTGTCTTGACCTTACAAACCTGTCTTTTCAGGGCAGGGAGTTAGTGCAATATTCTACCCTGCTGTATGTGGGGTCTGTGGGCTAGAGGGGGAATGTGATCCTACCCAGCAGAAATACTGAAGATGCAGCCCTCATGGCAGTGAATGACAGGAAGAGGTTATTAAAGGGAACCTTTCCCCTCCAAATATAAGATGGGTCTCTGAGTATCTGCTGTTCTTATTTCAATTTTAAAAGGTTACCTCATTTATTTTAGTTCCTTCCCAGCTTAAACCAAAATAAGTCTGGCTATAAATCAGAGCACCATCAACATAGATATTTGCACTGGTTCCATTAGAAGTGGTATAAAAGTCAGGTCTGTGGTTAAGGTGCTGCAGTAATGGTGCACAGAAGAGGTATTTGCAAGTGATGAGTCACTGTGGCACTCTGTGGGTCTTCCACTATTTAATGTCTCTGTTTTTTTCCTTTGTTCAAGTTTGTGAGATATCAGAGCAGCAATATTATTTCTCAAAAAGAAATTAGCCAGATTATTCAAGAGGCAGCAGAAGCCAACATAGCAGAGCTGCCTGAGGCCACATCTCATGCTCTTCACCTCTTCCTTTGTCAGGTAAGAGAGCAGTGACTGCTTAGGAAAATGGGAAGGGAATCCCTAGGTGTTTGCTTTGGCCTTTGAAGATCTCATTGGTCTGTATGGAGATGAAGGAGGGAGTATGAAGGAGGGAGTATGAAGGAACAAGCCCAACAGTTTCATGTTGTTCTGGAAATCTCTTTTTTCCCCTGACCTCTCAGATTCAGAATAGTCATTACCAGGTGGAGCCAGAACAGTCAGGGATCATTCAGACCTTGCTGGATCAGCTCCTGGGACAGAGGACCATGTGTGTAAAGCATCAGGACATTGTGTATCCTTTGATAGCTAATGCGTGTGACAGGTGTAACAGAGGTAGAAGGGATACTTAATTTGCTGCTCCTTCTCTTGTTCCAAACAAAATTGAAAAACTCTGAGTGGTTTCTACACTTGGCTAACTGTAGGATGAAAGACTTAATCATGTCCTAATCTGAGAAGACATTTTGGAAATGAGGAGACAATTGGGATTGAAGAAGGCTCTGTGTGCTGGGCTTGCATTAATCTATAAGGCAGAGGTGGTCTGATGAAAGGGGAGCAGGCTTGGGAGTCTCTGGCTTCAAAGCAGTAACAATCCCTATATTGATTTCCCTGGAGGATGAGCAATGAGTTAATCTCTGTTTGCATGCCATCTAGTGCCAGTATGCCCATGAAGTAGTGGAAACCCAAATGTGACTCAGGCACTTTCAAAATGCAGAGAGCATTTGGGAATCAGTGAGTGGAATTACCCGACTTTATTCTGTTTGGGCCTAGTCTGCCACTCTGAACTAAATCCTCTTTTCTGGCAATGGAGGCAGAGGCCACTCCCAGATGCCTTGTGGAGAAAGAGGGAACCTGATAAAGTATTTGTTTTTTTCCTCAAACTTTTTTTGCCTTCCTGTTTTCATCACGCTGCATTGCCTCAGATGTGTAGCAGTGATGGAGGTGGCCATGGCAGTGATCTCCTGTGGGTGTGGGGACTTCCTTCACTGTGGGGCACTGTCATCAGCCGTGTGTAGGGTATGTGGTGGGTGAGGTCTTTGTCCTGTCAGAGCTTGTCCTCATGCTTACCCCCAGTGTGATATTACTGCTCTGTTGTGGAACAATCAGAGGACAGGTTGTCCTGGTGGAGACCATCGAACCCCATAAAGTCTCTCTGCATTCCATTTTGCTTCTCTGTACAGGGATGAAGGAATTTGGATGGGAGGTTTTGTTCTTATTTCATGTATTAAGTAACCTTCTAATCTTGGTGGTTAGGAAGGATCTTAGATGCACCTGAAGTGGAGCAGTGAGGCTATATGAATAAGATAGTCATGGACATGGAAGACAAAATCCTTTGGTCAAAATGGAGCTTTGACTTTTCTTCAGGTTTACCCACACTGGTGTTTCTCGTGTATGTTGGGAGTGAGGTTCCATGGCTTGGGGAGGGTTGGTTTAGTAATGAAAACCTCCTGCAGTGATATGTCAAATGTGGGAATTCCCATAGCATGCGTGCCTTTCCGTTGGTTTTCCACTCATGCTGTCAATGACAGATGTCTGGGAAGCGTGGCAGTGTCCCTGTCACACATTGGAGATTGAAATGAGAAGATACAGTGCAAAGAGCAGAGGAAAAAAACAAGAATGTAGCAGGAAACCCCAACCTGCCATTCCTTCCCAGTGAGTAGCAGGGAGAAGATGGACAAAGGAAGTTACTTGTTGCTCATTTTTAGAAAAAGGTTTGTTATAATTAAAAGGTTCTGTTACTGAAACGACCCAGTTTCCCTTTCTGTGCGGGATAAGGCTTGGTTGATGCCCTTCATCTATCAAAATACAGATCTGCCTGGGAAACGATGTCGTACAGGGATGCCGTGGAAGAGGAGCTCTGCTCACTCGCCTTGGCTGATAGGGCTGCGGGATGGTCCCTTCGCTCTGCGCTGGAAGGGGCGGTGGGGGCTCAGCCAGGATCCCGGGGGGAGCAGATGCGCTACGTGTCCCATAGGGATGAGGAGGCTTCTTCCAGGTCACGAGTGACCCCTTCGACTACAGCCCCAGACCCTCCAAGTCCTGCTGCCCTGCTGCCTCCAGACCCTCCAAGTGCCCGCCGGTGCCGGTGCCGGGGCGGGGCGGGGGCTCAGGAAGTGACACGGCGGGGCGGAGCGGCGGTGGCGGCGGCAGCAGTGGCGGCAGCATGGCAGCGCGGCGGGCGTGAGCGCCGGCCTCGGCACCCGGCACCCGGCACCCGGCCCGCAGGTGGGGGACCGGCCGCGCCGCCCGGGAGCCATCCCCGCCCCGGGAGTTCCAGCGGGGCCAGGGGAGAGCTCCCGGCCGTGGCGCGGCGGGAGGGAATGGCGGGAGCAGCCCCGGGGCCGCTCCGGGGACACCGGGGGACGGGGCGGAGGTGGCCGGTGCTCCCCGAACGAGACCCGGGACGGGCGCGCCCTCCCGGGAAGCGGGGGTAGCCGATGAGCGGGGTGGGCAGTGCGGCCCCGGGCCACCTTCCTGGACCCTGGGTTAAAGGGCTGCCATCGCCCCTGCTCGCCCCGCGCTGGAGCCGCGGGAGCAGCGGAGCGCCGCGGCTCCTGGCAGCTGAGTCCCCCCCGAGGGTTCGCGTCCTCCCGTGTGCCGCCTGCTGCGTCCGCTTGACACGGCTCCGGGTGGGTTTCCCGCAGCGCGGCCGGGGTAGGTTCGGCTCGTCCCCTTCGCAGCGTCCCTGTGTGATTGCCTTTACTTTCGGCGGAGCTGGCGGGAGAATCCTCATCTCCCGTGCCAGCGGCCGCCCGAGCTCCGCAGGGTGCTTCTTGAACCCCTCCGGCACGACGGGAGGCGCGAGGGTGGGCTGGAATGGACCCGTTCCTGCTGGAAATCACAGCAGGAAATCGGGGCTGCCAAACCGTGTGGTACGCGAGCTTCTGAGCTTTGTGGTTGGGAGGCTTTGGAGATGAGCAGGTGTAAATGGCCGGTACTGTTTCAACTGGAGCAGCTGGTCCTGTAAGCCCCATATAGATATGTCCTCCTAGAGGAGTCTGAGCAGAGGTGTTTCACTTCTGAAGCTTTTGGTTCACCTGTAACAAAAGATTAATCTTCATCTGGTTGTTGGAGGAGCACCTCTGGAATGGGTTCATGGGGCAAGGAGTTTTCATTCCTTGTTTTGCCACAGCATGCTCCTGGTGAAGGATGGTGCTTTTCCCCCTACATTTCAGTGCCTGCAGAGCAGTAGTGGGGGGGTAAGGCAAAAGTTTCTCCTGGGAACCAAAGCATTGTAGCGTGGCTCTGCCTTGCAAGCTCATTAAATGAATAAATCTCAGGGATGCTTCGTTCAGATGGGGCTCCTGCAGGAAAATTTATAAAGTAATTGAAAACATTTTAATGGGAAGTACTAACCATCTATTACATGGCATCTGTTGTCATGTCTTTGGAAAAACACATCTAAATTAAGAGGTTGGTAGACAGTGAGACAGACTGGTGGACTTGCTGCTGAAACAGCCAGGTGGCCAGGGCTGCAAGGCAGTGTTGGTGGAAACTCCTTTCCATCTGTAGCATCAGGCCAGGCCCTGGCACCCTGGACTGCTCTGGGAGCGCCAGGCAGAGCTGTCTCTGGCAGAAATCAATTCAGGGAGGAGCAGGGAGGGAAGAGAGGAGCAGCTCTGCAGTGTTTGTGTCTCATCTCATCCCTCAGCAGGTGTGAAAACATGAGAGAGAGTTTGTGGGGAAAGCATGGAGGAACATCTGCAAGGAGCTTTGGCATCTCTGCTGTTACATAGTGTGGCCTGGAGAGGAAGGAATGTCCTCTGCTGTTAAAAAGGGGTGAAATTGCCAGGGCAGTGAAAGGAAATAAATCTGAGGTGGTCCCATGTAGGTGAGAGAAACAAGTTGGGCCCTGTTTCATTTTCACCAGTGTGTTTCAGCCCTGATGGACAATGGCAAATGAATGGCTCCGATGTGAGAATGAGTGCCAGCAGATCAGATGAAAAGGTGATGGGCTTCCAGTGTGGCGTGGTTCTCCAGTCCTCTACTTCTGACCTTGTCCCAGGGAACAATCTTTAGGGCTGATGTCAGAGGATCTGAATACATTTGCATTGCAAACATTGACCATCCCCACCCCAGCATCTGCTGCTGTGTCTCTGAAGAAGCCCATCACTGTTGTGAGACTCGGAAGCAGCCAGGCAGGCTGTGCTGCAGCAGCTGGCTGGTCGGCAGCTGCTTCAGCCAAGAGCTGTGCTTTGCTCTGCTGCTGCTTGGAACAGGGCTTTTTGCAGCTCATCTTCCCCCTTGTTGCACCTTTGGAACATCCTCCAGCCACCCAGCTCCAGTGTTGGAAATGGGGTTCCTGCAGCCCCTGTCCTAACCAGGCGTGCTGGACTGTCACAGGCAGCATGGCTGAGCTGTTGTGGCAGCATTTCTGCTCTTTGCCTTCCAGCCTAGTCTGGAGGCCACTGGCTACCTCCAGTTGCATGGCAGATAGCCAGCTTAATCCTTACGTCTGATCCGAGGGGCAGACAGGAGCCTGGTCCCAGGGCAGTCACTCCTTGTGCTTTTGCACTGCTGCACTTCCTCCTCCCTGAGAGCTTGGGAGGTATTGAGCAGCTGTGGGGCTCTGCAGAGGGGAGACCTGCACCACCTGACTGAGCCAGGCCCTGGGTCCTTGGGTCATGGTTTTTGGCAGGGTGAAGCAGTCTCTTGGAAGCTGACCAGGCTGGTAGGTCCAACAGAACATCTGTTTGGGCTGGAGAATTTTCTTTACAGCCTTGGCTTGTTGGTGTGCTTTGTGGCATTCAGGATGGCTGGAATATGGCTTAAGCCTCACACCACAGTGGGAAGAGGGGACAGACCCCAAACCTGGCATGGGGATTGGTGCTGCTGCCCTGGCTCCGCATCATGTCAGAAACATGGGGCATGTTGCTGAGCCCACGCCAGGGGCAGCCATGTCTTCAATAATGCTGGTTGTATTTACTCTGGTCTGTTCCTTTCCAGGGGTGTAGCCTTTTACAAAGCACAACAGCAAAATATTTCAGAGGGTTTCCCATGTTTGTCTGACACTGTTCCCCTGCCTTTGCCAGGGGTGTGAAGATGCTTGGCTTGGTCTCTGCAGGAGGTACATGGTGGGAGCTGCTGCTGAACCTTGCAGGGCTGGGAGAACTGCTGGTGCTGCCTGCTCTGCCTTTTTCATGGTCTTGGAGTTGAAGAAATTGTATTTGTTTAAAAAAAAGAAAAGCAACAAGAAAAGAACAAAAAGGGATTTGATTTTCTTTCAGTGTTAGGGCATTACGGAGACAAGTTTGGCTGGGCAGGCAAACTCGGACTCAAGAGGGCAGTGGATCATAGGGTGAGGTCAGCTCTGGTGGCCTTACACATCTGCCTTTCCTTCAGGAGCAGGAGGTGGCTCAGATGATGCCTCTGAAGGAGCTGTTGCTTCTGTAATTGCCAGTGGCCTGTGCTCTCCACGGAAACCTTGTGCCTGAGGACAGTCCACCCTGAGTTCTGCTGCCTGGGGCTGAACTATTGCTCTCCTTTTCCATGTATAGACTGTCCAAGAGGATCTTCATTCTCAAGGACCTTTTTCTCCAGCCGTTGATTTTGTCTGAGGGACATTTGTGGTCAGGAGCAGCTCTGCCCGAGAGCATCCCTGCAAAGCCTCAGACACTGCCTGGGAAGGGACTTGTTTGGAGAGGGGAAGTTACCACCAGGCCACCCAACCGTTGTTTTTTGGTGTGGGACCCGCAGGTGGCACCCAGCTTGTAGTGAGGGAAAGGGTCCAGGTACCAATACCCAAGTGGTGAGGGGAGCTCGCTGAACTGGTTGCACTGGGACTTGAAGGACAGATGGACTGTAACCCCTCCCTCCCTCTCTTCCTTCCAGACCTGCTGTTGTGGCTGTTGGCCTGCTCTGCCTCACAAACCTGGCAAAAACCTAGCTGTTATTTTTGGAAGAAGGGGTAGGACTTAAATTTTCTTCTGGGTCAGATGCCTGGCCTGGCAGTGCAGGCAGGTAGAGAGCAGAGGGAGACCAGGGCTTCACTTGCAGGAGAGAGCAGACTGGCTGCAGCATCACCATGTGGCTTTGCTCTGGCCACTGTATCCCTCAGACCCCTCATGGGGACAAGGGGGAGATGGGCAAGGACCTTGGTGCCAAGAGCAGGGTGCCGTCGGTCCCAAATGGCTTGTGTGACTTCTCCTTTTGATAAGTCTCCTCACTGATCTTTGGTTTTGTTGGTCTTTTCTCTTCCAGGCTGCAGTGGCCAACATGGATTTTCTCATCATCTGTCCCTTTCTGCTGGCCTTGCTGCTGACCCAGGGCAGCTTCACAGACCTGGAGAAACAGAGAGTAGACTCTGGCTTGGAAATCTGTATCCTCTGCAGCCTGCCCCTCGTGACCACCTATGCACTAATGGCTACGGAGGCTGGAGGGAGCACATGCACAGGGAAGGGGTCAGACCTTGGAAAGGGGCACAAGGAAGTGGAAAAGAGGATCCAGAAGCACTGGGAAGTTGCTGCTTTGCCCAGATGGGCTTTAGCCAGTCTCCTGGGTTTGCTAACCAAGTGCCTGGCTTGGTGCAGGAGCAGAAATGGCAGTGATGCCTGCTGTTCTTTCTGTTTCATTGT